GCAGTTCAGACTTTCAGACCTTAACGCTGGACGTCAGGCAGAGCAACATCAAGTACCATCGTTTGACGTTATTTGTTGGGTGCAGCCAAAGAATCGAACAACCAGCCATCTCCTCTCTCAGCCGACCGTCTGTCCACCACACTTCGAATGAGATGTGAATGATCGAGTGAGCTATAGGTTGGTATTATGTCACTGACGATGTTGAAGAAAGCCAAAGATCACTTGTGTGACACTCGCGGGTCACGGATATAGTGCTGACAAACCTCAAATCATAATCAGAGTGACGGTATGATTCCAACAGATGATTAGAGAGTTCCAGCACTTTTAAGTCGTGCAAGGCGAATTGTGGTGGCTCAGGCGACTGGATCGATCTCGACATCGCGTCCGACAATGAACAGAGCCTTGTCTAATTCATACAGATCTGTCAATAACAGTTTACAGATGACCCAAGCACTTACAGAGTAATAATAACATTAATGATAATGATAATGCCAACGATGACGACGACGATGATGATGACGACGGCGACGACGATGATGATAATGACGACGACCACGATGATATAAGGAATGATTAGATGTTTTTAACCAACACAGAAAAATGTTGGCTGAAATTCATGCCGGTTCTCTTAAAATCGGCTTCATTCAACACATATTTATATATCGGGCACATGTAGTGTCCATGCGCAGGTTTCTGCAAAAACGAGACTGGTGTTGGATGTCGTTATTGACGTCCGCTAAACTTACCACACATTTATGGATATTTTTTGATTACAGAATTAGACAGTTAATTACAAGAAAAATAAAGTGTTATCGAGTTCTGTGCTTCTGACATTCTGACAGTCTTTGTCTGTTTACAAGCATGTATTTCCTCGACGTTTCTTCAAACCTCACGCTGCACGTGGTGCCGTAGACCATCTGTTAAAGGGGCTCTTCGAGCGCAAATAGACCGTTCAAGCGTTGTTTTGTTTATCTACGCTGCTAGTTATCAAAGACAAATCGATCCACGTGCTGAGAGCATCCTCTGCGCGCTTCACTACCGAGTGAGTTAGTGAGTGAGTAAGTGAGTGAGTGAGGCAGCTACGTTTAGCGCCGCTTAAACAGAATTTAAGCTATGCAACGACCTACCATCATGTTGTGACAGAAAACCCCGAACTGAGGCATTTATCAGTCGTTTACTACTTAGTGAGTGAGTATGGTTTTGCGCCGCTTTTAATAGCGATAATCCAGCGAGGGACGCCAGAGATAGCTTTCACACATTGTACCCATTGGGAAATCGAACCCGGGTCTTTGGTGTGACGACTGAACGCTTTAACCACTGGGCTACACAATCGTCACGTACTCGGCGAACCCACAATTACGGGTGTAATTCAGGTAACCCGATTCGAAACCATTCTTTGGTTTGAGTCCTTGTTCGCCCTGATTATGCATGTGTCATGGTCTGTCAGCACCATATCCGTGTGATTGGATGATGCCACACTTCCGGACTTCCTCCAACATCAAAGCTGACAAGCAATGATCAAACAATGCTCAGTACGTCAACTCACGTTCACCATTATAGTCTGTTTGCAGTGAAAACGTACCGATGAATTTCACTTTAAACAAAAAAAGTAAATCAAATAAAGTGAAATTAAGATTGCGAATCCTAATACTTTTACCATGCCAATTGAACATTTTAATCTCATAATTGTATTCAGCTTTGGATAAAAGTTGTTTAACAAACGATCTTAGTTTCAAATGGCTATTGTTGGTTTTTATTACAAGGGGTTACGTGCAGTAGTTGGAACAGTGAAACAACTGCACGTGCGGTTCGTGATGAGCGTAAAAATAGACTACCGCAGAGACCAACCCTTCTTGTTCAACGTGGTTTCTTTTAATGTGCATACCCCCCTGTAATACAAACCAATAATAGCGATTTGAAACTATGATCGTTAATTAAACAAGTTTTATCTTATTTTTCTATAAACTTCGGGATGAATATTTATTTTCTTCACTAAAAAAAAAATTCTAAATCTTGTGACGTCATCTGAAAACCTCTCCCTGTTTCATTTCACCATTAGGGGCGGTGGGGTAGTCTAGTGGTTAAAGCGTTGGCTCGTCACGCCGAAGACCCGGGTTCGAATCCCCACATGGGTACTAAGAGTGAAGCCCATTTCTGGTGTCCCCCGCCCTGATATTGCTGGAATATTGCTAAAAACTCAGTCAGTCAGTCATTTAACAATTAAGTAATTTCATAGTCATCATGAAACTTGTCATCACAAACATTATTTCCATGATACCTTTAAATTAACTTCAAAATAACGGATGCATTTGTAAGAGATTCGCTGAACGCATTGTCAAATAAAAGGCATTTTACCTTTAAAACTTCTCCATTAATGTTTATCTTTTCGGTTTGCGGGTGCATAGCTTTTATTTGCCGCCCGGCGTATGACATACCCCCTGCCAGACAGTTGCAGACCCTTCTTCGCCAGCTAGGTGTGCATGATATTATCATCCAACCAGCCGAAATCCGCCTAATAACGACCGTGTTACTCGGCTGACTTGTATGTGTCGGGAATACTTTCATGGAACCGTAAAACATGGGAATTACAGACACCAGTCTCAACCGAATTTGTGGATTGGGGTAAAACCACGCCCTTTTGGGAGCCCACCGTCGGCGAGCGTGCAGATCCGTGATTCTTATCTGTGTTCCGAAATTACAAAATAGGCTTCAAAAAGATTTGAAGCACACACTCGGGATTAAGTGCTTCATTATAAACGCTGCAACGACTTCGTCAGTAAATTGTTTCTGGTTTCAGGAAGTATATTTTATTAGGGGGTAATTCTGTTAAATTAGTGAAAAAATATGTTTTATGGTTGAACGTTGTAAACTATTTATTAGTGTTACAAACATACGCACTGAAGGAATGTAAACTGGGGCTATAAAATGCGTGGTACATTTTGATGATCAGATGAGCACTGTGTATGAGTGAGTGTAGTTTTACGCCGCTTTTAGCAACATTCCAGCAATACCACGGTGCGGGGGACTCCAGAAATGGAATTCACACGTTGTACCCATGTTGGAATCGAACCCGGGTTTTCGGTGTGACGAGCAAACGCTTTAACCGCTAAGCTACCTCACCGCCCAGGAGCACTGTTAGACGGAATTGTGTCTTGTATGTACTGTGGAAATATTTTCATCGTTGGTTGACGCCGCACTGCAATCTCGTTCTGGATTATACATTCCAGTGATTGATATTATGAACAACGGTTAACGTGGCCGGGAAGATTGACGTGCAGTCAGCCTTGTCACACTCCCCGATCAATTAATTCACCGTTTACAGAGGTTGCTATGGGATCAGTTCAAATACGAAGTCCCAAGTTCTCAAATTACGATCGTAACATACATGTATATACTGTATATGGGTGAGCATGTTTGCTTAAACACTATTACACTTTGGTCAAACCCACGTGCATGCCAAACCAACAAACATGGCGAACGGGTTTCGAACCACGATCTGTGATTCCTGGCGTGTCCAAGGGACACAACTTTGCACATCGATTTGAGGTCCACCCGTGCCCATTGGGTAAATGAACACTCCATCAGAGATACACACGAAATGTTGGCTCACGAGAACTCAGCAATATGTGAAATTTGTGGCATGTCAATTCAAACTGGCTCAATTATAATACCTGACAACTATGTCTATCAACTGAAATGTATACCCGCTGGAACACACGATTTCAGCTGTATCTAACTCAACGACCGGGCAAAATCATCGATCACTTATGAACCGTCTGAATGTAGTAGATCCCTAAAAACTGTGCACATACTCATTGTTATATTACGAAATCGAGTGAGTGGGTGAGTGAGCATGGATTTTGCGACGCTTTTCAGCAATATTCCAGCAATATTCCAGCAATATCACGGTGGGGGACACCAGATATGGGCTTCACACATTGTACCCATGTGGGGAATGGAACCCGTGCCTTCGGCGTTCGGCGAACGCTTTAGTCACTATGCTACCCTACTGACCAAAGAATGAACGTCTCCACGTCTATTTGGAACATGATTTTACACATCGATTAGTCTTCTTGTCCGTAAAATATGCCAATATATTGATACCTCTTTCGTTGCTATTCCGGTTTAAATAGGTTACCAGCAACTTCCACTGGTTGTCAGAGGGTGCTCAGGATCGGTGACTTGTTTGATCAGGTGAGTTTTGGTTTTACGCTGCTTTTAGCAATATTCCAGCAATATCAGGGAGGGGGACACCAGAAATGGGCTTCACACATTGTACCCATGTGGGCAATCGAACCCGGTTCTTCGGTGTGACAAGCGAATGCGTTAACCACTATAGGCTACCCCACTGCCCCCGACTTGTTTGATCTAAAAATGGGTGTGTTTATTGCTAACGGTATTGATCACGATCAACTGATCAAGATTCGATTTGAATACATCGCACTCATATAGCGGAGTGTGGCGTTATAATATAAACGGTCACGACATGTAGTTGTGGTGGGGTAGCCCAGTGGTTAAGGCGTCGACTCGTCACATATAGTACCTGAGTTCGAATATATGTTAAGTCCTTTCCTAATGTTCCACTGTCGTGTTACAGTTTTAGATATTTCGAAAAGTGTGGGGAAAACCAAATTCACATTTGTTGGTCATGAATAATATTTCCCTTTGGGGCAGGGCATTCCTTTCATGGGAGGGTGGTTCAAATGATTTTGATGCACCCATGTACTAAAAATAATTACACTTCCCGAATTCTTGTCACATTTTTGGAGGACCCTCCCCATAATCTTGTACAGTTTCAATGAATGAATGAATGAATGAATGAATGAATGAATGAATGAATGAATGAATGAATGAATGAATGAATGAATGAATGAATGAATGAATGAATGAATGAATGAATGAATGAATGAATGAATGAATGGGCGTATGGCCTTTTCAGTACTGGGAATAAAGATTCATTGATTGATTCCAAAAGTATAAAGGGTACACAAACGAATGAGGCGATGAGCTATGTTTTATTTTTAATATTATGTATAGATAAATGAGGTACAAAAAACACAATGAACAACACAAGAGACATGATGGTTTCATAAGAGGGTGAACAGTCTTTGTTGCATTAAGACAGTAGGAGTTATTTCCCTTGCTGTTTTGATAACACCAGCTCTCTCAAGCTGTCTTCACTTTCCTTCAGGCTTTTATCCAGATAGCCTTTGTTAATCTACAACAGAAACAAATATGATTGAAAGAAATTATGTACTAGTAACGGTACACACCAAGATTTGAACATTATTTATTTTGGTTGAACTCAAAACACTTTCAGTTTCATGTAGGTCTTTTACTTTAAGATTAGTCAGTGTTTGTTATGATTGTGAATGTTTAAAAAAAGAGACATATATTTTTAAGTGATTTAAATATATTTAATGCAGTGATTTGAAATAGCATTAAACAATAATGTGTACACTGGAACCATGTTTGTCCATTATTCATCCATTATTTGTCCATAAAGGAAGAGCATGTAATTTGAGTACTATTGCTGCAAGAAAAATTACTTTAGTTAAGTCAGAACGAAATCTAAAACTCAATATGCTCTACAAACTTCTTAAGCCCACTCTTAACACATTGGCTACGATCAAAGTTAAGAATTCTTAAGGCTATGAACGTTTCGAGAATAAGGGCCAGGACAAAAAAATAGACAGTGAGAATGACAGAAATACTGTTTGTTTTTCTAACCCAAAGTCGACTATATCACCTGTAAATATGCAAGTCAAAATATGAGATACCAGTGACTGATATTATAAGCAACATTGCAAGAGTTTGAAGTGATGACATACCAGTCATGAAGCATGACCACCAATCCAGTTAGTCACCTCGTATGACATGGATCAGGATTAGAACTTAACCTTTTAAAGACAAGCACAAGCAAAAGACTGCTTGTGACTTTTTCATCTACAAGCTAAATCAAATTTCAGTCCACTAAAGCACAAAAATAATTCCTTATCCCCAATTCCTCACCACTTTCCCCTTCACACTTCTGTTATAAACAGTTTGTTATAATATTATTTGTAATAAGGTTTGATCATAAATGCCAAATTTGACAAATGCATGCGGTTGAAAGGTCTACCATCATTGAATCAGAAAATCCTGATGTTATACTAAGCATGTGATTGGCTATAAGTTCCGTAGATTTTATATTTGGAATCCTTCATTAATTGTCATCAATAAATATAGGGAATTAACTCCAAACTGTGTATGACAATTTTTATACGACCATTTTATTGATTTAAATCAACAAAACCACTAAAAAAATGAACACTGTTAAGAAAAATGCATTTAGCGCTCAGCCGTTTTATAAAAATTTTGACTGACACTGACTGAGTTTAGTTTTAAGCAATAATTTCACGGGCGGGGACACCAGAAATGGTTGGCCTTTGTGGGGAATCGAACCCCATTAAAAACGCTTTTAACCACTAGGCTACCCAATGGATGGATTATGATCCTGTGATATACTCTAAATGTGAATCAAAACAACTGACCATCAAAGCATAATTAGTCTGATCTAATTCCACTACAAATGGCTTGAACGCATATGCCAACATAATATAGTATCTAACAAATCTTTTCAACACAAATAACAAATCAGTTAGATGTCAATATCCGTGGTCATCCTCATCCCAACTCATGAGGCCCTAGACATGATAGACGTGCAAAAATCAGTCAGTCTGTCATATGGTTAAAGATATTACAACTACATTGACATTTTGTATAAGGACATTCCAAAAAAGACACATCTTGCAACAAATATATTTAGATATCATTTAGAAACTTACTTCTATTGTTTTAATTTTCTCATCAGATGCTTTGATTTTCTTTGTAAGATTTGACCGTACAACATCCAATGGTTGAAGAAGAAACCTGAAAATAAAGAAATCTTTGATAAATGATGACGATGTACATCACACAGTGGAGATGTTATATTATTTTACAAACCAGGCCAACAAGGTATTCACTGGGGGTAAATTGATACACCACAGCACAAGTCAACTGTGAGTTTTCGTGCCACAATACAAGATTCTACACTTGTTAAAAAACTTTATACTTTAAAGATGCTGCTGATCCAATAGTCATGTATCAAATATTACAAAATATATTGTAATAAGTATTTCAAGTTTACAATTAAGAAATACAGTTCGCTCTACCACCATGTATAGTGTATTAAAGCACACTTTCGCCCTGAACTATTATAGTTAAAGCACGAGGATGCTTGGTCCGGGCGTCCTCGTGCTTTAACTATAATAGCTCAGGGCGAAAGTGTGCTTTATTACACTATACATGGTCACACTTTCGCCCTGAACTATTATAGTTAAAGTACGAGGATGCTTGGTCCGAGCTTGTGTATGCTTGTACTAGCCCAGACTTAAGCTGGTTTTATAGTGCTAGCCCACTGAGATACCTGCCCGCAGTGAAGCATGAATACCCAACTCAGACCCATTATACTGACTCCGAGCCGACCAGTCCTTGTTGTACTCATTAATGCCGAGCACCAGGCAGGGACCAACAAATACCATATTTTAACCTCTTTTGGTATGACGCTGTCGGGGATCGTACCCGCGACCTTCCGCTCTCCGGGTGGACGCTCAAACCACTACACCGCTGGAGGCGGTCTGGGTCTGCTTGTACTAATGCTGACTTCAGAGTGCTAGTCCACTTAAATACTGTAAACCGGAAATATTCTGTGTCAGTTTATATTTTGTGAATTTTGTGTTTTTCTTCCCCACGTGAAAAATTCTCGGCGTAGTACTATTAACCCATGCAAAGTTATTAAATAAAATAAATTGTCGGACACATTCTTCGGCAACGGGTCCACATCAAAATTTGTCAAAGAGTAAAGTAACGATGTTTTGAGATAATATTTAAATAACTGAATAATAACAGTACTCATAAAAGTTGTCAAACGTACATTACACTGATACTTGACTCAGACAAAGTATACTGACAACAAACTGACCTCTCTTTGTTTACCTCTAAAACTTGAGCCCAAGACAGGCTAACAAGTAACATCTTTTGTCAGTTCTCTTCATGTGGACTCCCAATCCATCAGACCATTGGAATGGGTTTACAACGTTTCATCATGTTCATGAATAAATGACAGTAATAAGCTCCACAAAAGCTTCAAGAAGTTTTCTTTGTTATATTGACTAGAATAACTTTTGAGTTGTGTAGAATAATGGATTATCAGTCCTGAGTGATTCTTGCATGTAAACCAAATTACCATCTCATCCTTACCGGTATGCTCTTCTGGGTGAAAAGAGGCATGTTACGAACCTTTGAATAGCAAATAGAAGTAATACAGGCAGTGTGCAAATAGCCACTGGGTCAGTCCAGTCAGGTCAGTAAATCTCCACAGTCACTGGCCCAACTGGCTGATGATGTTTCATGGGGCCATTTCTTAAATATATCACTCTCTCCGACTTGTTAAGTTATAATACACTTTTAAATCATGCAAGATTATGGCCTGATAAATGATGGTAGTTTACCTTTCTGTAATATTTTGCTTAGTTTCTACATTCAAATTTCGAGCTAGTGAATTATGTTGTGAGCTAGTAACTTTCAGGCATAGCTAGCCCGACTGGCTAGCAAAATTTGGAAACTATTTCGCACACTGAATACATGTACATACAAAGGGGGAATTTTATGGATGTCATCTGTTGTATAATGAGGAACAGATGATCTGATGAAGGAGTCAGAATATACTCCGAAACAACGCCCTCCTCATTATAAATATCTGGGTTCGAATTGGTCCTCAGCAACCCATGCTTGCCGTAAGAAGGGTGATGGGATTTGGTGGTCAGGCTCACAGACTTGGTTGATACATGTCATCGCATCCCAGTTGCTATGTTGATCACTGGATTTTCTGGTCAGACCCGAATATTTACAGCCCGTGTAAAACTGGAAAATTGCTCAGTGTGGTGTTAAACAAACAAATCTTTGTTGTACAGAAGCTGATATCCATAAATGTTTCCCCCTTTATTGCAATTACACCCTGGATGATGACAGAGAGTACGTACATCCTCCCCACCCCCTCATACACTCTAATTCCCCCAGGGAGCTGTGAGATCTCTGAGTCCACCAGTTTTGAGTGTGCCATGGTCCTCTTCAGTGTCTCAATCTGGGCATCTGATATCTTCAGTTGCTGTGTTGTTGCAATCATCTTTGATTGCATCTCTTGAAAAGCCTGTTGAGGTTATGAAGTTTCATTAATTAAAACAGACACATAACATGCACTGCATGACCTTTCATCAGCATATCCAGTTGCAAATTCTCATGAGGACACATGATTAAACAGCATTTAGGCTGTTGTTGTTGTTTTAGTTGGTGGACATCAACAGATTGGGTATAGGCCGTCAATCGAAATACAGCAATCCAACATTTACATTTTTGGTTGCAACATCGCATTCATTGCATAGAAACGTAAATCAACGTATCGTGCTCTGATAATGTTTGGAAATTTTGATGGCGCACAAAATGATCAATTCAGTTATATATACGCCATTCTTATTTGACACGATCTGTTGGGTTTTATATATCATGCTGTTTTACTTTTCATTTCGGCATGTCAATTGTGATCATGCGTGTTCTGTGGAATAATTTTAACCACATCTATTTGTAAGATTAATCTCGTTAAAAAAAAGAATTCCCAACTTCGGCTGAAAACGAAAATGTAATTTAGAGGTCTCTTGATGGAAATCATAAAGCCATAGAATATGAAAATACTATGGTTACAGGTTCATCAACACCAGAGTCAAGTTAGTACATGACATTACGATCGAAAATTGGACACAAATCAAATATTTCCAAATAATTACCTCATTGATTGAACTTCAAGAATTAAGGTTTAACATATAAGAAAACTTAGATCGTTTTTTAAAGTATCTCTCGTACATCAGTTAACGTGGACACAAACGATACCTTTTTTAGTTCCATGTCGACTGCAAGTTGTGAAGGATGAGTGGCCATGTTGGGAAATTCGTGAGAGGGAGAACTCAGTTATTGATCTTAAATCCAAATGAAACTACGTCAAATAAATTACGTGTGTACATTTACAGCAAAACATTTAGCGGCAGAGCTGTTCATCTATCCTTGAAAACCAGCAGTATATGAAGAGTTTCGCCTGTATCAGAACCATTTTATGAGGTTGGATAATCTGTTACAAATAATAACGCTCCCTAGAAACGGCAGGGGAGGTAACTTTCGTAAAAAACTTGCGCTGGAGAGGAGGATTAGGAGATTTTATGTGCGCCTCAGATACATGATATGGAAACATTGAGTTTTTTTTGTTTAAGCGACACTCGACAATATATGACAGTTGTGATGATGTAATGTAATAACAGAGTCTGGGCCAGAGAGTCCAGTGATTAAGATTATGAGCATCAACCCATCAGGACAATGAGTTCACCACTTGGTCCATTTTGCCTTAACTAACAAGTACATACATATGGCGTTATACAATAAACAAGAAGTTGCCATCCATATACTCGTCTTATACAAGTACACATTCCTGGGATCTACATTCATAGCCAGACAACCCAGCAGTCGGCGGCGATTAAATGAAAGTGTCACTAGATTTCCAAACGTGTTTGATGTATGTTTGGGGATCCGTGCAACCATTGTAAGTAAACAAAGGATGAATACGCACATAGAAATAGTTATTCCCGTTTTAGAATATTTTCCCAATGTAACATATGTTATATTTGGGTTTACACTTCCTCAGTAAAGTTCCCCAGGAATCATACGTTTTCGCTATAACAAGGTGTGCTGCGTCACTCATACAGTGTATATATCTGTATGATTGTTTGTCCTTCAATTACAAATCCATCAGTGTACACCCTATTGTATAGAATAGAATAGAATAATACTTTAATGCATTTTCAGGAATTTGAGAACCATGATTTGACAGTCTTACAAATTCCTGAAAATGTATGTATTGTTACTGAAAGGAAATCCTAATTCTCGTGAATTGGTGTCTCATTTGCAATGTTTGCTCACATCTTAAAACATTCAATAAAATGATTTGTTTCATATAGGTTTACTCAAGCTAATCAGAACAATAATATTGTTTTATGTGTTAATGGGACATATTGCTGGCACATCTCCAAGGCGGTCAGTAGGGGTGACTAGTCCAACATACTATTGCGACAGCGATAGTCTATAGCTACCGACTATTGCAATACCATTGCAATAGTGTTTTTCTCCTTGAATTGTCTCATTTCAAGTCATTTCCCAAATGAATGCATAGTTTATATGAAATAAAAACATGATGAAGTAGTTTCAGTCTCTTTTAATAACTGACAAGAAACTTGAAACCCAGATCAAGTAAACAGTTCAAACAAGCTCAGTGAAGCTGCATGTCTACACCCAAACATCCTGTATTTTGCGCTGCGCATTTATCAACGGAAGTCAATTGCTAAAACTATCGATAGTCTTACTTACTATCGATGCATCGATATTTTTTCGTTTCTACCGTCGATTAATTGCTATCCGAGATACAACGATTGCAATGCATCGATAGTTTGATGCATCGTTACAGACCAAGCGGACATTAACACTATAAAAGAAAACTTTACCTTCTCTGTGGACCATGGCAAATCAGGAGTATTTTTGAGGTGTTGGGGGCCGGTTTGGCATAGAGAGGGGACAGCTGCAGAGGATCTTTAGAAGCTTCTGTGAGAATGCCCAGCTGAGATGAATATATCAAATGGCCATTAAAGGAGGATACGATTGTAAATATTCAAACATTTGCAGAAAGGTGAAGCTTTCCTAATACAGTCGGTGCTATTGATTGCACAGAGGTACCCATGGATCCACCTAATCAGAACAGAGTTCTGATGTAATGTAACTTACATAAACAGGCTGGTACAGCTTCTATGAAGATTCAGGCAGTGTGTGATCACACTGGCGTACCCGTGAAGGTCCGGGTTAGAATATTGATCTTCAGTAACCCATGCTTGTCGTAAGAGGCGACTAACGGGATCGGGTGGTCAGGCTCGCTGACTTGGTTGACACATATCATCGGTTCCCAGTTGCACAGATCGATGCTCATGTCGTTGATCACTGGATTGTTTGGTCCAGACTCGATTATTTACAGACCACAGCCATATAGCTGGAATATTGCTGAGTGCGGCGTAAAACTAAACTCACTCACTCACTCAAACATTGCGTTGTAAGGACATTTACGGTGGCTGGGTAGGTTGGCTCAGTTCACGATGCCCGCATGTCCCGAACAGCCCATTGACTTTACATCTTGCTCGACCAGATTTCTTGCCAAAAAATTCATTCCCACATCGTATGCTGTGGTGCGTATCCAATTCAGATCAGTTTGATGACCCTATATAATGGTCATTTAAGCGACATAGAAAAGAAAGTACTACAGAATTCATTTCAGCTCGATCAGTGATTGAAAGAAGCTTGGCTTTAATGGAAGGTACACGGAGAAGACTCAAATACTTAGACATGGATTTGATGGGCAAGGTTCCCAGTGTCATTATAACAGCTTGCGCTCTTCACAACTTGATTATTTACCTTGAACAGGTGGAAGAAAATGCTGATGTTGCTTATAGGGACAATGAGGAAGGTCAACAAAGAAGGTTCCTGCCCATGTAAGAAATGCAGCTGCTGGATTGCTAAGTTGTGATGGACATGAAAACAAGTTTGATCCGTATGAGTTGGAACTTCATCAAACTGATATTCATAGTTTGCCTATCGAAAGTTACTCACATATACACACACGCACGCATATATATGTGTGTGTGTATGTGTATGTGTATGTATGTATGCATGTATGCATGTATGCATGCATGGATGGATGTAATGTATGGTATGTATGCATGCATGCATGCATGCACGTACGTACGTACGTAATGTATGTATGTATGTATGTATGTATGTATGTATGTATGTATGTATATGTATGTATGTATGTATGTATGTATGTATGTATGTATGTATGTAAACAACGCAACTGTGTATAGATGTAGGAAGCCAAGCACCGTGAATACTGACTGCCATATTATAGAAGAAGAAAATATTTTTATTGGTGTGTCACATGTTATATATAAAACATATATAGACAGTTTAAAACATTCAGTAAAATATAACATCCGGCAATATGGCATATGAGACACAAGACACTACATTATATCTAAAACAGATAGTAGTAAATAAAATAACACAGCTTTGTAAGCAACAATGGAGTGTTGTATATTTAATTACATGACTACAAATAGCATTTACGTATGGTTATGGAGAAGAAAGAAAGTATTTTTAGTTGTGTGTCACATGTTATATATAACACAAACATAGACACCTTAAACCACTCAATATAAAATATAACATCTGGCCATATGGCCTATGAGACTATGTTAATAAGAAGAACATTTTCTTCTTATTAATAGTTAAACGCCAGCGTTTACACTAATTATCAACGCTATCTAACATCCGCTGTAGGGACAACAGGCTTTATAGTGCTGCGAACGCGCTGTCGCTGCACGTAGCTTCTAACCGAGGAAGCGCGATTATTGACATTCACCACCACTCGCCCCTTTCCGTAACCACCAAGGAGACGGCTTGTCCCGGAATAACACGAGTTGGTCAGGAATGGATTATTGAATGTTTACTATAGTATTAGCGACGTTTTCCAAGAATATAACAACCGTTCACATACTCGGAAGTACGGGTAGTTTCGGTTGTCCTTTTTGAGAGGGTCCCGTTGCTACTGTCTCAGCCGGATTCTGTCGGACAAGAGCGCCCTGCGGGTAAGGTTGTAGTCCTACATTGACAAAATGTCGAAATCACTTCAAATTTGGTTAGGAGAGTACAGAGAAAAATGCAAATTAGAAATATATGTGTCAGGTGTAGCTCCATAATCATTGATGATCTGACTGCACTGTTAAATTCAATCTTGATCTGTAATCGCGCAGATTATGTTTGCTTTATATTTGTGCCGGGTTAACTCCCTGGGTGCCAGAGGGACACATAATTAGCCTAAAGTGCTGTAAAAGACCTTTCAAAATAGGCTTCATCGTAAATGTCGCCATATTTGACACAATACGCACAACAAAATTTTGGACAACACTTAGCAGTGACTATTTCTCAAACCGCAAAGGTATTTGCACTTATATTTATACCAACGGATAGGAAATTTAATATTTTACATTTCCGTTGAATTTGATAGCCGTACGCAGATCTTCGGCCACGCGAGCGCAATTCGCACATGGTTCACCTATAAATCCTTAAGAAAATGTGCGCCTGAAACAAAACCCTCGGTTAAGTAATAAATAAATATATAAATAAATAAATAAAATCAAAAATTATGTACAAAGTAAATGATCTCCCCCTGCATGTACAAAATCAATCTTCCCCCCCCCCCTTTAATAATAATTTGTATATGTTGTTTGTACAAAATTAAGTAACAGGCCTAGGAGATACTGTTAAGAGTAACGTCCCATGACAGACACTACATATACAATGCCGTCCGGCAATTCAGCGCACCTAAGCACATCGATCGCAACACGGCAACTAAAGTCTCAAATATTGTGTGGTTTACGTGACTAAACATGCTGGTATGCATTATATATATAAGATTCTAACGTTGCATTATGCTGTACGGTTGACCTTACCAGCGTTCTGACGACATCGCTTGCTGTAATCTAAATATAGATTTGTGACACTCACTAGTAGGATAATAGGATCATGGTTACAGGTTACATTAATCAGTTTCTGACGAACAAGCGAAGCTGGTATTTCCGCGCGTCCGGTAATTCTGCGCTGCAACTGATGCGCATAACATCCAGCTGGAGATTTGAAGTATGGACGCGTATTAGGGCCAGATTATTTTCAAAAATCACTTCATCAATGTAAGGAAGAGTGTTTCATATTAAATCCAATTATAAATAATGATGAAAAAGTTTTAAAAGTCTGAAGAAAACGAATTTTCATAAAACTGTCAATTTATCTGTCAATTACTGTTACTAGTACTTAATTACCTTTAGTGATTAAAAGCCAGTCCCTTTATAAATATCCCGATTTCAAGCGTAGATGTGACAGCAGACGATGTTAAATTAGATACGGAAGTACGCTATTGCAGCTGCGCAGAATTACCGGACGCGCGGAAATACCAGCTTCGCTTGTTCGTCAGAAACTGATTAATGTAACCTGTAACCATGATCCTATTATCCTACTAGTGAGTGTCACAAATCTATATTTAGATTACAGCTCTGGATTCCCGTGATTGACCATAACTGAAAAGAAAAATAGCCACTACCATTTTCATTTTGATAAAATCGTAAATAGTTTGTACTGATTTCACGTATAATTGCACATGTTGTTTTCAAGTGCACAAACAGGTCTGTTCAATAAATCTTTACGTAGGCTCTAGACTTGCACAAGTCTCTAAGCTAATAATTAATAGTTTAAATGATATTTTTCTAAAAAGTATAAATAACAGACGGTTATCTAGACTTGCCACTTTAAAAGATAGAATAACTATACATGGGGAAGCGAACCCGGCCGTTGCTTGAACTAAAGTCCTCCCAGAAATAGAAATAAAACGTTTTTTGTTTATTACTTCATTAAAATAGGTAGTTTCAACTTATTTTCTTTGAGAGGCATTTTAGAAGTTGTGAAGATGAAGGAAAACTGATTTCTATGGATAGTCAACTGCTTTATTTCGATGCGTGCGACGTTTCGGTGTGGGTACTCACTTGCTTGGTAACGGTGTTAGTACCTATACACCGAAACGTCGCACGCATTGAAATAAAGAAGTTGACTATCCATAGAAATCAGTTTTCCTTTAGTTTCAACTTAGTTTCTCAATTAAGCCTTTTAATTTGGTCCTTTTATCATCACCCAAAATACCATTTTACAGGTAAAAATATAAATTTTGCATAATATCAGCAACTCTAGAAACATGTCATAGCTTACGTCACAATCAACAATGCGAGTTACAACTACCTTCAGCACAGTTTCGACCGGAAGATGCATTTGCACATGCGTTGCCATAGCGGTTGTGCAGTTGACAATCAAGGCTAAGAATGGAAGTGTTAAAATTGTAAACTTTCAACAAGTACAGGCACAATAAATGTACCAAGAAAATCCCTAAATCAATTATTTTGTACATCAATTAGGATAAAAGAAATAAAGGATGAATGGTATAAAAAAAATATGTACGCGGAACACATCTCATTTGCATACTACAACTAGCATCAGACACGTATATTTTGACTTTGATGAAAGGTTAAGTGATAAAATGACAAGATTCGCTCTCCTGTAAACTCATCTACTTCGCAGGATTTCACAAAAAGTGTTAAAAACCAAATTTGGGAAAAACGATAGTAATAGAATATTTAACTTTCAAACATTTTATTTCTATTTCATTGAGTACTTTACGCCTTCGTAAGATAAGGCTATAAAAGCAACATAAACGTTTCTCAGGCCTCATGTTTCGCCAAAGTGGGAATCTAATGTTACGATTGTTTTTTGTTTGTTTGTTTGAAACGAAAGTGATAAAGAACTTTTTTCTCTACAGGAATAGCAACACACCAAACAAGGCACTTTCTTTCAAACAGAACATGTTTGTGTTTATTATATCAATGACATATTCAGCTTAATTTGAAAGATATTTGTATGAGCATAAATTAAATTGATTGACGCGCATGATTTAAAAGTGGCGAAAATTATTTTGGCATGAATATTCAGCAAACAGTGCATATCTTCTTCAGACGATCGACATGAGCGTTTTCACAGGAATACAAGGTTTTGAGAGAGGAAGAGGGCGTGGTAGAGGACGAAGGAGGGGCAGAGGACGAAGCAGGGGTTGGGGAAGAGGTGTGACGTCATCAGAGACAAACACAGATGAATGTACAGAAGTCACGGGTGAGATTAACCTGTTAACGATATTAAAGGCACAATGTCACATATTTTCTACAATAGTTTGGCCTGTATTGCATATATTGGGGCATACACACTCATTTAAGCTTCCTGTTGATGCAATAAAAGACTTATTATCCCTTACGACTTGCCTGAAATCGATATTTGAAACTTCGAGGCGAATACTTCCAAATAGATCACACTTGCCATAATGTAAACAATTGCTCCGTACATAGAAAACTGCCGCACACGGTGTTGTCGCACACACCGGCGCAGCGATGACTCAGCATAATGTACTATGCTGGCTGACCGCATGGAACTCTGGGTAGGAGAGTGGGTGTTGTCGGTGTTTGCCGAACTGGTTCCAATCACAAGTTTCGTATTCGTAAAGGTGAGGTGAGGTGAAATTGGATTAAATGTCGCGCTTGAGAATATTTCGCTCATATGACGACGTGCATGCGTGTGTATGGGTATGTGCGGCTGCTTGTACTAGCCAAGACTTATAGTGCTAGCCCACTGAGATACCATGCCGCAGTGAAGCATGAATACCCCACTCAGACACATTATACTGACTCCGAGCCGACCAGTCCTTGTTGTACCCATTAATGCCGAGCGCCAGGCAGGGACCAAAAAGTACCATATTTTAACTTCTTTTGGTATGACGCAGTCGGGGATCGAACCCGCGACCTTTCGCTCTCCGGGCGGACGCTCTAACCACTACACCACGGAGGCGGTCTAGTATTCGTAAAGAACTCTCCAAGGGACATAACTCTATCATGTCAATGGGGTTCGCTTGAAATAATGCTCGGCCAGTAGTGGGCGCGAGAGTCGATTTAATGCAATCCTGCATTAATTCATACGAACTTTGTAAGTTAATATTGTAATCTAAATACGTAATTTCGTTTGAATTAATCATATAGTAACTTTTCTGGGGGCTGTTTAAGATTGTCTTTGACAGCTTAACGTGTTCACATTCAGACTGACCAGTACCGACCGTTGAAGTTGTTGTAAAATGGCAAATTTCATCTGTTTAGATCCTGAAAGTCCTTGGAGGTAACTCACCAAATCTAGCTACCGTTCATGATTCTATAACAATTCTGAAAACTGTATATTTGGACATGTATTGTATATGTTTACATTTAAAACGTGGTGGGACGTTTAACAAGAAACAAACAAATACATTCAAAACGTTTAACAGTGAACGCAAAGGCAGATAAACAAATCATTAAACAATAAAGAATGTGACTGATGTTTCAGTACAGAGTGTAAGACGAGGCCTGACCGGAGGGGCGAGGGAACTGTGTGAACGATACATATGGGGCACTTGTTATTGTCCTCGTGTCCACCACCAGAAGAAGGCTCCGTATGTGTGGCAGTACCTGGTCAACATTGGCGATTGGAAACTGTTGTCCAACAGTGAGATGGAAATTGTGGAGGAATCGTTCTGTGACAATGACAACAGCACAGAGGTTGAGGTGAATTCATTCAGCAGCAATCGACCCTTTCCGTAAATCACGAAAGGGGTCTTTACCGTATCTGGTGTCAAACCCTGGTGTCCTTCCTCTCACAGCCAATCAATAGTGACTTTTGGTTTGATTATTAAGCTTGTATTACCCTTTTGAGTGCCATCTGATGGATCTTTTTAGACTATGAATAGATCTTACAAGCATTGTTTAAATGTCCATTCTGTTTTGAACGATTGTTTCTAAGCTGCGCTTCCTTAGAACAGCGATTATATCTAACTGGGCTTCTTCACAACAACGATTATGTCTATTTAGGCTTTCTTACCACAACGATTATGTCTAAGTGGAAAAAAACGAAGCGTAACGGCGTTTTGCATTCCTCACTTCTGTAGATTTGACTTTTTGCATGTGATTGCCGCATGCGAACAGTAACAAACGATCTAGAAGGAAACATATTTGCCAAGCGGGGAAATACTGGGGAAATACTGCTTTACTTCTGAATTTATATATATTTGCTTGTGTAATATTTCGAAAGAAACTTAAATTGAAATTGATTATTGCGATCTTGTATTGAGGTGATATAGTATACCACACAATATTATGGACTGACTGACTGAGTTTGGTTTTACACCGCTTTTAGCAATATTCCAGCAACATCACGGCGGGGGACACCAGAAATGGGCTTCACACATTGTGCCCATGTGGGGATTCGAACCCGGGTCTTCGGCGTGACGAGCCAACGCTTTAACCATTAGGCTACCCCACCGCCCCAAATATTATGGATATCAGCTTCTTTTTATTGCCTACACAACACAAGGAGAAGCCCAGAAACGTTGTGTATACAATATAAAGACGTTGTCATCCACGATATTATGTCTTATACTTGAATACCAACATCTGTATGCCTCTCAAAAACCTATTCCCACAAAAGTATTCCCAGAAATTATTGAGAAACTTGTTTCGGCAAATATCAAATACAATGGAATCTGTCAAATCCAGACTCTGTGTAATCCGGTTTCTCCACAATCCGGACTACTCCCAACAATCAACTTGCAATGAGAACAATGCTTTGTTATCCGGACTTAGCTGACCATAATAACAGTCCGTTGAATAGACATCTCTGTTACTTCTGTTGGGGTCCTAATCGCGGCCAACATTAAACATTTTACTGACCCCTAACGAGGGAATCTGTGTTGGTTTTCTTTTTTATATCATAACGATAACTGTCAACGAGACGGTAATTTTACTCAAAATGTTAAAAAAGAATGTTTCTATCAGCTGCAATGAAACCGTGTGTCTTTCCTATATTTTTATTTACTTCGACCTGCATTAGTCACAGCAATCACTGTCATATTGCATCTACCCACGCTCGAAACGAAGTGTAGTTGACAGAAAATGGATACGTATACATATTTTGTTTCGTACATGTATATAAGCTATAGAAGTTTTAATTAAATGAATATGTTGAGATATGGTTCTCTTACAGTCTAAGTCTTTTCAGTACTTTGTGAGACCTCCCTGCCCTGCAACACACGACTGAATGCGCCTAGGTACACTACCGATCAAAGTTTGTACAAAAAATCGTGTGACAGCGTATCCCAATCTTTGACCACTTCTTTCTTCAGATCCTCAATATTTCTAGTCCTTTTTGGTTTACTCTGTCCTTCATTAGTCCCCATACATTCTCATTAAGGTTAAGATCTGAGCTGTAGCTGGACCAGTCTAAAACTTGAACATTTTGGTTTAAACAGTATTTATTCAGAAAATAGACAATACATTAGAAAGACAATACAGAACGAACAAAAAGGATTGGCAAACAGGTCGAACTAGGGCTATATTAATGCCTCTCCCGAGAGAAAACAAATTAAACAAATTAAGATTGTGCAAAAGCGATATATAATTCAATGAGGCAACTTTCAAAACAAACAAAACCTTAGTCTCGTCATCAGAGAATCTATTGCGGTACTGGATATGTCTGATATGACTATAAAGCGGGCAGAAAATAAAGAAGTGCGAGATATATTCTGTTGAAAAGCTACATTGGCATGAACTAATTTCTTTTAGATGTCTTTCGAATTGGTGCAAGTTTAAATCGCTACATCCTAGTCTCAGTTTGGACATGATGATTTGGAAAAAGTTAAAGTATTTTATAGTTCTGGGATTAAGAGTGTAATTAGTAAGATCGATGTGATTTAAATTTAGACAATGATTCCGCCGATTTAACAGATTCGTCGAGATTATTCCAGGCTTGTATGACTGATGGAAGAAAATATTTAGAGTGTTGTACTTGTCTAGTGTTTTCTGGCTGAATATCTCTGGCATTACGAAGGCAATAGTGAGTTTTGTGGAGCTAATCTTGTTAAGTACGCTGGTGTTAAGCCATGTAACATCTTATAACAAAATGCACACTTATGATTCTTTCTTCTTTCAAATAGATCTGGGCTGTAGCAGGACCAGTCTAAAACTTGAACATTTTCGTCGGACAACCACTGTTTAGTGTAGCCCGCAGTGTGCGTTTGGTCGATATCATGCTGGAAAATCTAATTATCTTCATACAGTGTTTGGGCCTTTGGAAGGAGGTTATGATTTAAGATGTCAACATATCTTCGTCAAATTTCCAGTGAAAATACACAACGGCGTCACTCCACGTGATGATATCCCACCCCACATATGAAATTTCGGGCTATGTTTTGAGCGTTGGTTTCACTGTACCTTTTGTCCAAATGTTCGCAGAGATCGGAAAAAGTCAGACAGAACTTTCATCAGAAATGAAATCATTATTCCAATCTTGATTTCGTGAGCCCTACACCAGTTTAAACGTGTTTCTTTTTGTGCATCTTTCATCAATGGGCAGAGAATTCCGCGCTGTGTATGTATTGAGTATTTCACCGTAACTGAAGGACACACTATTCACTATTTATTCTGTTCTGTGCTTGGGATTGACCCACAAAGTTTTATCTAATGTAATATAATTTCCAGGTCCGATTACATGGAGAGATTGCATCAACAGAAGTAAACTTTGAAGAAATACTTGACCCACCAGGGCAGACGTCGTACAACAAGCTCAGTTTCCGGCGACTGTCAACCCGATCTTACGTGGAAGCCGGAACTGACGAAATATCTCATTACACGCAGTGGGTGTGGTACTGGCAGGACAACAGTAAAGAGTGGTCGCCCTTTATACCGGTAACCATGACTTGCATTGCCCCGCCATGACACTTCTTCCTGGCATAACTCATTAACCCAATAATAGAATACCAATGTACATGTATCTCACTTTGATACAAATTTCACTAATCTCACTAATTGAGCATTTTGTTGATACAGACTATGGCTCATCTGGACAAGGTTTTATCAAACACTAACCCTAGTCAGCCAAATCCCACTCTGGCAATGTGAGAGACCTGTTTTGACAGAATCTGACCATGGCTAAGTGAGAGGACACCCGTTAACCCCCGCCATGACTTTTCTACCTCGCATAACCTACTACCCCATGCAGTTGCAAGTTACCTGCCCTTGGTTTCAATTTGCCTGTTTGACTGGCAACGCTAGGTCTAAGGTACCAATCAGAATGCGGGTTCCAAACAAACCTCTATGTTGGCTTGGCAGTTTCAACAACATGGCGCCCAGTCCCAATGATAAGGATGTCGTTTGTGCTTAATACAATACTGGAAACCCACCTCACAAAAAGCACTCAAAAATCTGTTTGCTGAAAAGGACGTCTGAATGTTTATTAAACCTACTAGGTATTCCTTGTGAAGGCCAGGGGGATTTTCAGGATAAGACTAAGAGGTATAGCTGAGGAAATATTGATGAAAACATCCCTCATCCACATCATTCTGCTCCTACAGCCGGAACTTCAGCTGACCCTGGAGACCAAGTACCTGGCTGGACAGAACACCTACCTCTACACTATCGCAGATCAGGAATACCGCCTGGACTTCACCTCTCTGGTTCAGGTCAACAGGAAGACTCTAACTCGGAGGCCAGTCCAGAGGAGGCCGATGTTTGTATCTCTTGATGACGCCAGGAGCTGCCAACAGACGTGGTAAGATATCTGGGGAATCAGTTATATGTAGGTTCACTGAGATCCTTCACTAGAGACAGGGTGTTGTGTCTGCTGACAACACCTAACATCCCCACAAGATGTGGTAATTTTTCACTGACAATTAAAAGTGTTCATTAAGGCCTTTCGCAAGAGATCTGTAACCTTGTCTGCTGGCGATGCCAAACGGCGACAGTAGATGTGGTAAGATTTCTGTGTCATGTATGCCCACTGAATCCTTTCACAAAAGACCCGTGACCTTGTCTGCTGGCGAGGCTCGACACCTGCAGACTGGCTGACTGGCTGAGTATGGTTTTACGCCGCTTTTAGCAATATTCCAGCAATATCACGGCGGGGGACACCAGAAATGGGCGACAATTGTTTGTCGAACCCGTAGGCGTGACGAGCGAACGCTTTAACCATTTAGCTACCCCACCGCCCCGACACCTGCAGAAGATGTGGTAAGACATGTAGGTTCATTGAGGCTTTCACAAACGACAATTGTTTGTGTCCGTAAATTCATTACCTTACCATACGATTCAATCCACTTGCGCACCACACAACCATGCGTGGTAACATACGAGAACGTTGTAATTTACAGAACTGTTATTCAGTTCCAGTTTATTGATGTCCCCGGCGACGGTACCACCGACTGACGTCTCCTCGCACTGGGCTCCGCTTGACCGTTATCAGAACAGTGAAAAAGTGGAACTGAATACAAGCTCCGATGAGTTTACCACTGTGATGTCATCCATCTACAAAACTCTGTCAGCGGACAGATGTCAAGTGCAGCGAGTATACAGACTGCAGAATGCTTTACTTTGCCTCAATTTCCTCAGGTAAAGTATTGAGGTGTTCCATACATTAAGCATGTACATACAGAATATGCAATATATATACGAGCAACCGAGTGTTTACACGTTAATGCTAGCTGCTGTCAAGCCGTCGCTAAAAGTTTTTTAAAAGTTACATGGCGGTGGATTTTGTTCTAGGCTGTAGTATTAATTAATGTTTCAAATCTTATCTATTTTACTTTTAGTTACGAGTTATCCAGTTGATTAGGCATGGGTCACAGGCCCTCGTGTCTTTGCGAGGATTAAAGATGTTAAATTTTTTTAACATTTGAGATGACCCCCGACTCGAAATGCTTCACAGTACAATACATTATAATGCATTGTACTGTGTAGCATTTCGTGTCGGGGGTCATCTAAAAAATATTTTTGTCTTTTTAATCTTTAATCTTCGCAATTTTTAATCCACGAGGGCCTGTGGTATGGGTGGGTACATGTTATGTGTGGGTACGAGACCGCCGAAAATGTTCAGGTTCAGATCTCCGTGGGTACGGGTTCTCCAGTTCGCAATATCACTATGCCAGTCTCCAACACTGGTTCCAGGTCTTGCCATTCTCAAGGCAATCGACAGTGACCTTTTCTGAAAACTCGGATGTGTTTTAGGGCCTGTTATGTATTGTTACTTTGACAGATTTTACCCATTGTTGTGGGTTTTTGCGTGGCATCATAATCCTGTGTTTTTCTTATGAAACATTCCATTTACTGATATCACATTTAGTTCTGAACGAAACTAATGCTGGGCTAACCTTCAGACCACATTCTGTTTGAATTAATAGATGTGTGGAAAATGGGTTTATCAAAATATACAAAACTGTATTTAATCGATGCATAAAAACGATGACAAATCACAATATATAAACGTGATGTTTCAGTATGAAGAGGACACTTCAGGTGTCTCATAGCACCGAGAGCATTGATGAGCGACATCTCTTCCACGGCACAGACACTCTAGACGTGGTCGACAACATCTGCATCAACAACTTTGACTTCAGAGTCAGCGGCAAGAACGCCACGATGTACGGCAAGGGGGCGTACTTCGCCCGTGACGCTAAGTATAGTCACTGTTACACCAAAGGCAGGAATAGGTACATGTTCCTAGCCCGAGTGCTTGTTGGTAAGTACGCACTGGGAGACAGCAGCTACACGAGGCCTCCACCGAGAAAAGGCCACGTGTTGTACGATTCTTGCGTCAACGACATAAACAACCCTTCAATATTTGTTATATTTGAGCGAAATCAGTGCTATCCCGAGTACCTTGTCGAGTACAGAGATGAAAGTGTTGACGAATCCGTGTCTGTAAGCAGAAGTATTGGAAATGTGACAAGATCACCTGCGAGTGCTAGTGCGCCAGCCAAGACCGCTCCAGTTCCCTCTATGATCCGAAAACCGGCACAGCCTGTTCCAACACAACCTGCTAAAGTCGTCAATCCTGCGTCATCATCAGGCCTCAGGAACCCCAGCCCCTCCTTAGGGAGTGTGTCAACACACGGATATGCATCTGTTGGATCCAGTTCCCCAGCCTACCCATCGTCCGTCTCCACCAGCAACAGATCGTCATTCGGGACGAGAGCGCCTTCACCTGTTCCAACACTACCTGCTACAGTCATCAATCCGCCTGCGTCATCCTCACCCCCGAGCACCCCTAGGTACTCCTCAGCGAGTGTGTCAACATACGGAGGTGCACATGCTGGATCCAGTTCCCCAACCTACCCATCGTCCGACTCCACCTGCAACACATCGTCATTCAGGACGAGAGCGCCATCCAGTAACCAGGCATATGGCAGTGCTGCTGGGCAAAACACCACTCAGGTTTCCAGAAGTGAAATACCTGTTAGTCAAAACTCAGGCGTCTCCTCCTCTGGTTCCCGTTTCTCAGACAATGTTGCAGCTCCAGCGAATCATGCTCGGCAGAACACACCCAAAACGAAAGTGTGTATATTAATGTAACGTTCGACCGTTTGAAAACCGTATTCGTCTACATTGCCTTTCCCATGGGTCAACAATTCATTCCCGTCACAAGAGACGACTGCATGGATCGGGCGGTGACGTTAAGTGATGCGATCTGTAGAATGTCCACCGACATCGTTGATCATTGCGTCTTCTATCTTGTCTGGATCCAGACTTATGTTGAAGAAACATCCAGACTACATGACGAGTTAAAGAATACCAGAACCGAGTTACCAAACAAGCCTTAAAACAAATTTCAGTCTGGAAAGGAAATTACAGAGATCTTTCAACATTCAACATCCTAAATGGGGAAGTGTACACGAAAACATCACATTTATTCTTATGTGAAACAAAATGGAATTTTTCAATTAGTTAATGTCAGTGTTTGAAAATATACACTCATTTTTCTTACAATGAAAATATAACCCTCAATATAAGTACTGAAATGTTATGCCATTATGAGGCCTTTGTTTACCGAGCTTAACAGGCGAGAGTTACCGCCCTTTGATTATGACGTAATAGGTGCCAATTGATTTAGACTGGTCTCCTGTCTAGTCTCACAGCAAAAAATATAAATACTGACATTAAAAAAAGCAAGTAAAAATACGAAAGAAGCATTAGAACTGAAAATGTAAGCAATAGGATAGAAATGATCGTGTGTATTTTCATTCATTACCTCACATCAGTGAAAATACCAAATATGTAACAATGTTGACGTACGTATGACATCACTATCGGGAAGCGACTTCCTGAAAATGGCGTGTTCACTGACACGAGTACGCGGGATTTTTTGAAGGAAACTTTCGTTGTATGAAGCAACGTATATGCATAAATGTCACATGTAAGTAGCCCGAAACATTCTGATAAGAAATAGTCGGAAATGAGGAGAAGCAGGATCGGATACTTTTTGAGAGCGGTGTGCGCGTGCGTGCGTTCGTGCGCGTGTGTGTGTGTGTGCACTATTGAGGTGAGGTGAGATGAAATTGGGTTTAACGTCGTGCTTGAGAATATTTCGCTCATATGACGACGTGCATGCGTGTGTATGTGTATGTGCGGCTGCTTGTACTAAGCCCAGACTTCAGCTGGTTTTTATAGTGCTAGCCCACTGAGATACCATGCCGCAGTGAAGCATGAATACCCTACTCAGACACATTATACTGACTCCGAGCCAACCAGTCCTTGTTGTACCCATTAATGCCGAGCGCCAGGCAGGGACCAATAAGTACCATATTTTAACGTCTTTTGGTATGACGCGGTCGGGGATCGAACCCGCGACCTTCCGCTCTCGGGCGGACGCTCTAACCACTACACCACGCTGTGCACTATTGAGAAAAGGGGGGTGCACACTTCATTTTCACAGTTTTTCATCGTTGTGCGTGAGTTAGCGTCAGTCGTGGTGTCACGCTTGCGGAAACTGTAATGTACTGAACCACAAAATAAATGTTGCACCGATACCGGTTTCTTAAAGCACACACTTCAATTCACTCTAATTAGCAATCAAAACGGAGGACTGAGTTCCAACTTGACAAATATGGTTAACACATTTTCGAGATTCACATTTAGAGTTCACACAAACAAAATCACCAAAAATGATACCATTAAGATGCCCCAAAGTCAGTATCGTGTGTGGCCTCCATGGGCATCGATGAAAGCGTTGCACCGTCTGTATATGGAATGAATTATCCGGTTGATGAAGGCCATAGGCACTTGGGTCCATAGTCTGCGAAATGCCTGATCGAGTCCAGCCGCAGTTGTCGGCCGCATTTTCATTTCCACGAATGTCATACGGAACCTTTTATCGAATCTGCTGTTTTCGGTGTGTTTGGTCGATATGCTTTTTCATCAGAAAACACACTGATGTTGGTAATACCTGTCAATTTGGATTCAAAAACATCATAACAAAACGGTACAATCATAATAAAAGCCTTGCTAGAATAAAATTTACATTTGGTTTTGAAAAGCAACTGTTTTTGTGGTTCAGTATACACTGTATATTGTGTTGAATCGATCTGGGGAACCATTTGAATACACCTATTTCTATATAACTATGTCTTACTACGATACCTTTCCTATCCATGTTCTAAACGTAGGATCAAGCGTATGCAACGAATAGGAGAACGCCTCTCTCACAGTATGAGAACGTGACACACAGTGTAAAATCTGAGATTGGCTTTGTTTGCATTTCAAACAAGACTCAGTGGTCCTTTCCTAGCACGACATCAGATATATTAAGCTAGATTTCACTTAGACACTTGGTATTGGTGACAAAAGACAATTTGTAAACTTATTTTGAACTGTATGAGGAATTCAGGGATTCGTTGTACAGATGGTGGTTTTGAATGAAATAGTTGTGATGTAATGGGCGAAGCATAACCGACATACGTTAGACGTGATTTTATAAACACTTTGCAGTATGGCTGAAAGTTCACTTTGAATGGTTAGGGTAAGAGTTAGGTTAAACTTGTCCTACAATGAGCGGATGGTATCATAGAAAAACGGTTCAAACAGAATTCAAAACTGCGAATTGGATGTATCTTCGTGATGTATTTGGATACGGTTTCGACATATCAAAGTGAAGATTGATGAGGAGGGACATATACTGTACGATATATGTTATACAATTTGGTTACGTGGTGACACTTGTCGTACAATGTATGTACGTTCTTTTTTCAAACTGCAACGTCATCACAGTGTGCAACTGACCACATACCCAGCTGACGGCCAGGCAACATCTGGAATAAAACAGTTAGCCTTCGCATGGTGACACCTTAGGTCTATGCCATTGGTTGTGCCGACAGTGCGAGAACTCTTAGAACGTGGGCCGCCGGTTCAATGGAGCACGTAACGTCTGCGCGCGAGTTTGAGGTGGTGCAGACAGAATCCAACATGGCGTCGCAGCACAAAACTGTGTTTCAGTGCGAAATCTGTCAACGAGTTTTCAACGATGTATCAGCTTTCAATCTTCACAAATGTAGTGACATTGGTAAGCATAACACATTTACTTACCTATTGATTATGTTCCAATGACAATGCTTTTCTGGCTCTAAAACAACATATTAGTCTTGTTTCACCAATATGTGATTCACGTGGTCTACGTGAGCTTGCATAATGATTGAATTTGTGAGTGAGTGAGTTTAGTTTTACGTCGTACTCGTCAATATTTCAGCTATATGGCTGCGGTCTGTAAATAATCGAGTCTGGATCAGACAATCCAGTGATCAACAGCATGAGCATCGATCAATGCAATGGGGAACCGATGACATGTGTCAACCAAGCGAGCGAGCCTGACCACCCGATCCCGTTAGTCGCCTTTTACGACAAGCATGAGTTACTGAAGATCAATATTCTAACCCGGACCGGCGTAAAACTAAACTCACTCACTCACTCACATCAGATTTAATGGCAACATAAACTCCAAAACTTTTTATGCACATTGCGCATTACCAAAAGGATTGAGGTTTGTTTGTTAAAAAAACCCACCAAAGACTTTATTTTCCATCTTTCTGTGAAGAAAGTTGTTTTAGTGTCAATGTAAGAGTAACAGATGGGCAACGAAGACTTAGTGATTTCATCATGTAAGGGGCGGTGGGGTAGCCTAGTGGTTAAAGCGTTGGCTCGTCACGCCGAAGACCCGGGTTCGATTCCCCACATGGGTACAATGTGTGAAGCCCATTCTGGTGTCCCCCGCCGTGATATAGCTGGAATATTACTAAAAGCGGCGTAAAACTGAACTCACTCATCATGTAAGTTTAGAGCAGATGTGTGAGCATGCTTTCAAGCACGAGTTATATTCAACTAAACTCCTGTTTGCGGTAATTTTCAAATTTAGCTAATATCTTGACAGGTTTATGCATTAGTGTGTCTTAATATATTCATTAATGTACACAATGTACTCATTATAAAATGTTTATAGAATTTATATTTTACATGTTTGTGTTGTAGACTATGGAGGCTTTGATGCGGAATCATTGTTCGAAAAGTAAGATGCTCTGGCTCTGCAACCCACGCCCACTGACACCGACAGTCAAGCATCCACTTCCACTGGATCCTCTGGACCTCCGACCATCTGGACACGGCATGCCACATTTTGTCTTATAGACTTGTACCACAGTAACGAAAACCTGGTAACAGGGAAAGTTGAGAAAAAAAGCCATGTGGTGAAGATCGCCAACCTGGCAAGGGACATGTTATGTGTTGTTTGCGCTTTATTAAATGTCTATGATGGTATTTTTCCTTTGAGCTAAGATAATACAAATAATTAGATGAAATATTTTCATATTTAAATAATACTGAATAATATTAATATATCCAGTTGAATGAGTTCAAGTCTCAAAACTCTGGACTGGTTACGATTTTGTACTAAGTTACGACAGAGCACACGACGTGTTTGCAAGGATTAGAAGGAGCCCAAATAATTAGATGTCATAATACAGGAATACGAGACTCTGGACTGTGTAATCAACACGAGACTGTTTGACATGCTGCCGAAAGGCAGACGGGTAAAGAGTTGTGCGTCTGAAGTAGTGGAGGTAATGCAGACCTACATTCAAATGCAGGAAGAGAGACACGATGAAGAAACAGCGAAACAGAAGAAACAGAGCCACGATGAAGAAACCGAGACACATGAAGAAACACAGACAGGAAACCATGCACAAAGAGAGAATGGGACTCTTCAGGGAATTTTAAAATGTTTTTGGGGACAAAGAGAAATAAATATGTCCTATTGTGAAAATGAATAAGGATTCCATGTTCCATGACTGACACTGTTTTTGTACCTTGCGGCCACATGGTAGCCTGCAATAGTTGTGCAATTAAATGCAAGGAATGTCCAAAGTGTAGGTATTCTATTGCTTAAGCGCTAGAAGTTTTCAAAATGTAAAAATATGCAAAGAAATACCCAATTTGTTACAGTGAATGGGCAAAGCTCATGTCTATTGTATTTTTTAAATATACTCATGCAAATAATGGTTGTCACCCCCTTCGATTTTTTTAATTTGAGAGGGGGTGTTGGGTGTGGATGTGAGGTGTGTGGGGGGTTGGGGTGGTGAGGGGGATGACAACCATTATTGGCATGAGTGAAGTTGCTGATGTTTCTCTGTTCTTGAAACAACAAAAGTGTTGATATATTTCTAAATAACGTAATTCACCACTTAATTGATATGTTGTGCCTTTTTGTGTTGTGCCTTTACATGGTTGCCAGTTATAGCTGCCATTAAGTGCAAGGAGTGACCTATTTGCAGATAAATCAAGCACTGACAATTTTCAACATGTAGAAGATGGTATCAATCAAACAAAAAATCAAACGCTGAATGGGCAAAGCTATTTTCTTAGTGTAGTTTTTTAAATTGTTTGTCTGTTATGCTGAGAAGAACACAAGAGTAACACAATGCAAGTATTTGATTACTTTTTGTGAGTATAACATTTTTTCAGATGACTCTTTGTTTATATTTTTAACTGGTTGTTTTTGTTAAGGTTGCACCGTTTTGTGCTTTTGTGATACTCATTTTCAAAAGAAGTTGGCTATGTATTTTATTTGTCACCTTTAAAAGTTGACAATGTGCAATATTGTTTATGTTATTTCAGTTTCTATTTACCGGTAATTTAACCCTTTACTTGCGTGATTTCTGGTCAAATTTGTTCAGTGACACATTGTTGGTTCCAATGTCACCGTTAATGCATCAAATGTTGTTGTGTGTTTATGGCACACATTGTCAAACATTGTATGACCGATATATCATGAAACATTGTTCAAACATTGTATGACCATATCATGAAACATTGTAAAACATTGTCTGACCATACCATCAAACATTGTAAAACATTGTCTGACCATACCATCAAACATTGTCAAACATTGTATGACCATACCATGAAACATTGTCAAAAACATTGTCAAACATTGTATGACCATACCATGAAATATTGTCAAACATCGTATGACCATATCATGAAGCATTGTCAAACATTGTATGACCGATGTATCATGAAACATTGAAAGACAACATTGTTTGCTGAATAAACTATTTTATTGAAATTTCTCTTTGTTGTTCATGAGAAACAGGTCGATTAAGAATTGCAGTTCTTGACATAGCTAGTAATTTGATAACTTTTTGAACACTGTGCATAACCTTTAATTCAGGTTTCTAACAATATGATTGCGTTTAGTGGTACCCTCAACATCATTCTGTTGAGCAAGGTAGCCATTGTCAATGTTTTGAGCAGGGCCATCCAGAATAAAGTCTCTGAGATCTTCATGTGTTGAGATACAAATGTTGTGTATGATACAACATACCATGATAGTGTTCACTGCTGTTTTCAGCACTCGTAACTAATCGTACCCCTGTCTTAGCCGTGTCCGGGAGAAATAATCCCCCAGCCAATCAGAATGCGCGTATGTAGAGAAAAAATTGGGTCAAAATATTTGTTTGAAATAATTTTCATTTCGGCTTGGATAAGTTTTCCCTACACACTTCAAGTATATTTAAATTATAGCGTAGGGAACTATTCACCGTTCACTCGGAAAAAAATTCCTTGGCGTGAATGCCAGGTTTGTTTTCAAAGTAAACAAGAGTTACATGCCCTTTGAAAATAGTTCGGCAACTAGAATAATTCTTTCTCTCTGCGCTTTTGCGCTCAGACAGAGCCACGTTCAATAAAACGTCTACAAGAGGGATAGGTTACGGAAGGGACGAAAGTTACGAATGCTGTTTTCTGTTGCTGGGTGTCCAGATACTGAAGCTTGCGAAACCGTCCTTTCAGAAGTGCAAATGCACGCTCAATTACAGTGCGAGCAGAACTCTGGCTAGTATTGTAATGTCTCTGTTCTTGTGTTAAGTGACCGTTGTCCCTAAATGGTGTTAGCAGTCAGTGGATAGGCAGCGTCACCAAGCACGTGACCTTGACCACACAACTGTTGTCCATGTGTCCAAAGATCAGAGTTTTTCAAAACACGCGAGTCATGACAACTTCCTGGCCAACCAGCTACACAATCAATAAACCTCATGTCATCTCTACAAACAGCCTGCAAGACAACTGAATGAAACCCCAGTCGGATAACATATGTTTGACTGTGTTCATGGGGAGCTTTTATCTTGATGTGCGATGCATCAGTTGCGCGAACTATCCCGGGAAAGTTTCGCTTTTCAAAGAAATTATCAATGACTTGTTGTCGTTCTTGACCTCGAGGCTTGGTTTAACATCATTCAACAAAACATGATGCACCCTTTCACAACGTACAACAGATGACTCAGTTATGTTAAAGCCGTCAGATATGTTGTGAATTGTGTTGCCAGGTACCACATTGCTATCAGTAAGTGTTTCTCCACAGAAATGCATTCTCCGCCTCCTGTCCAAGGACCCTAACAAAAAACAAAACAAAACCAAAAGGAATAAAGAAGTAAATAATAATTAAACAAAGAAATAAATAAATAAATAAAAATAATAATAATGTGCAGTAAAACAGTTTTAACTTGCGTATTCATTTCTATAAATGTTGCGTAAATTTGCATTGAACGTGGAATATACATAAACTTTATATGTTACTTAAAAGCACTCATCGACAGTAAATGAGAAGCATATAAAATATACCACGAACTATCATGCACAACGTTTAGTTAATGTTTTTCTTCAAAGATTAAGAGGCTCTACCAATTAGGGACTTAAACCTGTAACTAACATCTGAACCGAGGAAGCACGTGTCGTTCTCTCAGTCTGAATAAAATGAAGTTGGATATAATGAAGTATTAACGATTTCAGACAAAAGAAGTAAGTGTAATTGAAAATTCCCGAAACAACATTTTTGATGAAAGTTAATACCTGCATTATTCTCTTTTGGCACTGAAGACGGACTTGACCTTCTGCTTGATTAATTCTGTTCAGTGACTGCGGTCGCCTACTGCTTCCTTGATGTAGAAGGCTGACCTACTAGTACTGTTGGTTGGACTCATGCCGTTTAGTTTTTAAGTCGGTTTAACAATGTACCAGCAATATCACCAGAAATGAGAAAACGCTTTAACCATTAACCCCACCACCCCTCTTACTATAAGTTTCTTTCTTGAAGGGTATAATACATCAAGTATGAAGGATAAATCAATGCTGGTCCATTGCCCTCATGACATCGTTATGGATACGAACAACTGCAGTCTCTGTGCTACGTTTTGATTTGTAAGCACTCTGAAAGAGTTCAAGCAGGTTGTTATTGAGTAGGTGTTCTTCAAGCCTTCGTGAAAATTGTTTTCCAAACATTTTGAAATGAAAGATACATTAGATACTGGCCGGTAGTTTTTTAACTCATCCGAATTTAAATTGGCCTCTTTAATTAGAGGACTGCCTGTTTGAAAACTTTGGCATCCCTCAAATGGATAAGGGGCTGATGAGAGAATCCAAGCTTGCTTACATGATCTGACTTATTTCTTCCGGATAGGTTAAGGAGAGTTCAGACAAATATGTACTACTGAAATATTACTCATTGAAAATTGATTCTGCAGAGAAGTCTAATGTCAAGTTCTTGGCGTATATCCCATATCTTGGCGTTGAAAAATCCTGGCAAAACTATTGGCTAGAGTACAATTTGTATCCTGCTTCAACAGACTGTTCAACAAGGAATATATGACAACAGAACAAGGACGAATGACAACAGAACTAGACTTCAGAGGAGCCATTCTCTTCCCACAGAGGTTACTTGTCATATCTTCCTACGAACCTCTGTTCTAATACGGCCATATTTCCCGGTTCTCGTAAAATCCCCTAGCGGCAAAAGATCGCAAAACGAATTCTTTCTATCCAATCAGAACACCTGTTACATCGACTTAGATTCAACTTAGACTAACACAAGCAAATGTGAGGCCACAAATATCCCCCATCTGCCGGGGACTTGTGTTGATGTTATACACAAGAGACGCCACTGATCCGCCATAACATGACTGAGTTCTGTCTAGAAGAAACGTTTGCGCATCGCGCAGGGGAAGAGGTTTAGTTTTCTCGAAGTATACGGAAATTACCGAGGCCTTGCGAATGATCACTTTTGAAACAACGTCGCTGATTGCACAACTAAATCTGATTGCCTCCAATCACGAGTCTTGATCGCTCACACCATGAAAGGGCCGTATTAGAACAGAGGTTACGTAGGAAGATATGACAGGAGTAACCTCTGTGGGAAGAGAATGCAGAAGAGCATGCTTATCCAATATTCGTGATAAGCAACACATCAGTCTTATCATCAACTCCACAAGAATCAGAGAGTGACTGTAGCAGCTCAGAAGATTTAGTGTCATTAGAAACCTGTCTAATGTCTATATTTCAAGTCTTCCTGTAGCTAATGTCTTTTCTCACTTGCTTAGGAGTAGTAAGTTTGACAGAGCAGTGAATAAGTGAATGATCAGATAACTGTTTGTCACTAACATCAACGACATCCAGAATATCACAACTATCCTTGGTGATGACTAGTTGTGTATGACCTGGTCGGTGAGTTGGTCCAGAAACGTGCTGTAGGAGATTGAAAGATGTCACAGAAGGATTTAGCAAAGGAGTCAGACACAGAATCAACATGGATATTGAAATCAACCATAAGAACGAGATGACCTGGTGACAAGGCTGGACTAACATTCAGGAACACTTGCCACATGATTTTGGTCGCTGAAAGTTTGGGAAGAAAACCCATTCCAGCTGCGTTATATACTCATCATCGAAATTTATGTGATCGTTTAACAGCTATTTCACTGCCTAGCTCTTCCTGGAACATTCCATCATCATCGATTTATGTGTTAAAGAAAGTTTTGTTCACTAAATTTCAAAGAAATAAAAGATGTGTTGCAAACATATAGTTTTGTTTCCAGGCAAACTTAGTGGAGTCAATTCTATGTTTTTCCCTCCTTCATTTTACATTTATCATTTCTACCAAAACATAACATGACATAACATTTTCTAATTTATTTCGGTGTGAATCACTGGTAGGGAACTTGGTTACAGTGAGAGTGGAGGCTTTGTGATTTTTGCGACAGAAACTTTATGATTTGTGACAGAGCCTTTGTGATTTTAGCAACTGCAAGGCGAGGGTAAGTTGCAATATATGGCCTGTAGACATCCGAAATCAACTTTAGAACCGAATTAATTTCACGTTTACCTCAATGCTAAGTTCCTTTAGGACAGAATATAGTTAGATTACTCTGAAAACCCTTGATAATCGTGTAAAGTCATAAATTGTTAAGATTTTTATACTTTTTTAATTAATGAATTGATATATTTAAAACAATGATTAAATAAAAATATTGTAGCATAAAAAGTCAGTATTCTGATTGGGTTTATCTCCCACTATAAAGAGGCATGTGCTGTTTTAGCAGCCAAAAGAAGACACATATTTAAAACACTGAATTGGTCTAATGTGACCGAAAATTTGTGATTATGAAGTTGATGTAACGGAAAATTCATTCATGGTCACAGATAATTCACAATCACAAAAATGGAACTGACAGGACACAATTTGTAAAATCTTGTTCATGAATCGGAATTGGACGTTTCTATTAATGTATCCATAGTGTCTAAAGATCGTCAGAATGTTTGAAGCTATAATTCGAGGTGATTTCAATTGTACATAAAATTGTCATTTTTCGTCTCTAGACTCTTCCATGTCAGAACATTGTTGACTACAACATCATAAGTGGTCAAGTATAATGTCATATGCTTTTATTTCCATCAGGAAGCGTATGACGTTTGCTTGAGTTACTTATAATAAAATTGTGCAGAATCGGTTCACTTTCGTTGAAAATCTCCTGGCATAAATATTGCTGTAAGGCATACCTGTCATACCTTCCTGTTTCGCATAGTTTTCTCTATCCTTAGATTTACTTCAGTATTCTGGAAATATTATAGTTCAGTAAAAAACAATCTAATGAATCCACCTATGGGATTAAAAGAGCCATGAATCATTAGTGGTGGTCCGATTTACTGAAATAATCGAAGATTGGTTGCAGTGACTAAACCACCAAGCAACTGATCATGTTTTCTCATAATCGAACACAAACATTTTTGGAACACTTGTTTGCATTAACAATATATTTCACAAGGTTGGTTTTGTCTGTCATTAAATTTACATTGCATAAGCACTACACGTTTGTTCCAGATCATGGTTGAATTTATCTTAATGACTCCAGAAAATATATGTTCCTAACATACTTGTCATCCTTTAAAATGGGGCGGTGGGGCAGCCCAGTGATTAAAGTGTTCTCTCGTCACGCTGATGAATGTTCGAAGCCCACAATGTGTGAAGCCCATTTCTGGTGTCCTCCGCCGTGATATTGCTGGAATATTGCTAAAAGCGGCGTAAAACCAAACTCACTCACTCACTCCTTTAAAAATGTGAAAAAAACCCCTAAAGAATTACATGTTTTCTCTTTCTTTCTTTTTTGTGTGCATTAAGACACATTACAGGAAAATTTGATAAATGACGCTAACCAATTATTTTTGATGAATGATCGGTTGTAATAAACCAATCATCAATTACGATGTTTTAACTAATTCCCAACACTATGAATTGCCACTTGAATGTAAACGTCTAGTCCATTCCTCAAGTCTGTAGTGTTTATTTACCTAGTGTGTTACATGAGACAACATTTTACGTTTTGAAATCTATTTATGATTGACAGATAATCATCATTATCTGCAATCATCTACAATCATCATCAAAATCATCATGAACATTGACTAAATTGTCTTCTTCTGAAAATATTTGTGTTTGTACAGACTCTGTAAGTTAAGCATATTGAATGGGGCTTTGTACTATCTATTTGTATGTGTTCCATTTCGAGAGGCAATGACGTTGTGACTTGCAATCACTTGCAGGTACTCATTATAAAATGTTATGTAGACATGCTCTAAGAATGTGAAAACTGGAGAACTGTAAATGATATGATGCACACCAAATTTCCCTTGGGATAATATAGAAGTCATTTCATCTAAGGACTTGCTCATTTGAACGACTTGAAATTGCATGATGCTCACCATTTATTGCCCAAGGAAATGTTTATATACAAAAAAAACAACTTATTGCCTTATCCTGAATGAACACAAAATAATAGAAATTTTTTCGTTACCATCATCTTTCATAAAATCTAAAATTATCCGTTACCAGTGGTAAAAACTCTGTCACATATCTAAAATAAACACAATTTCATGTGGAAAACTTGACATAATTCTTTGTGAATATTTTGTCCTTCTTGGGGTTGTTAATCTTGATGTTTTACTCATATTTATTATCAAAATGACTTTCATTGCAACTTGTGATAAAAATTATATCTGTACTATTGCTATATTTATGAAAGTTAATTATAAAGTTGCAAGATGATATCGTGATGGTCTTCAACAGGCAACTGTCGCATCGCTTGTTATCTCCATCAGCTCTGACTACACATGATGCCCCTGATGACGAAGTCACAGATCACTCAGAATAGATTTTGAGACGCTCCCCTTCCCACCTGTCTATTCCCGTTGCTTGCCGTGATCCCCTCTGCGTCGACTGTCAACAATTATGTACACAATGATGATAGTTTGTTAAACAACTTTTTCTGTGATGCATGGCAATTTCTAACTGTTATATTTAGAAATTCATGGGGACACCTTATAGTCAAACTGACTGCAGTTTGATCTCTCTGTAAAAGGCTGTCGGACGTTCTACTGCGTTTTGTCTAAACTGCCAGAGTATCACATGCTTAAGCCCTGTTTTAAATGGGAAAATCATATTATCATAGATATCCCTTGGAAAAATATTTTCACAATCTACGGAAAATATTCCAGGGCCACAAAGCTTCTGGACTTTCAATATAGATTCATTTATAACTGTGTGTTTGAAAAATAATATGCTAAGAATGAATTTGGTAGATAGCAATGTTTGCTCTTTTTGTAAGTCTGAACCTGAGAGTATAATGCATGTCTTTATTGCCTGTACATGTGTGAAAGAGTTTTGGAATAGCTTGAAACAGGACATGTATACAAAGAAAATGTAATATCGATGAAAACTTTTCAGTTTTTGATATACGCTGGGTATTGATAGAAGACGCAAGTTCCTCAATCACACTCTTCTATCAGCTATAAGATGTGTTTATATCACGAATTTAAAAAACAATGTTTTGTGAAAATTCTCAAGGACACTAAATCTATTGAAGAATACATATCCAAATACACCAACAGTATCAAAAAAGGCCGAAAGAACTGCTACAATAGTGAGAGAGTGAGTTCAAATTTATAGACACATCGGCAATATTTCAGCCATATTGTGACTTAAATACAATAAATTACTATGGCTATTTGTGAAAAGGAACCTACCCCTACTGTCATGAAATAGTGTGGAAATTGTAAAATATTGTAAAATGGCTGAAATAAATAAAATATATAAAAAAACACAACCCCCAACGTGAACAGAGATTCAAAATTGCTGAGCGAAATACATATCGAGCGAAAACATGTACATGTACGGTACGATATAACGTATGGGTTGTAGCGCTGTTCAGCGTATCATTAAACGCGTCCGTGTGTGGATGTAGGAAGCCAAGCTAGGGAGACCAGAGATTCAGACTACCGCTTGGTCCAAATAACCTTGCGGCTAAAAGATGACAATAAAGTGTTTCAAACAAACTTCCCTTGACAAAAATACAAATTAACACTGATAAGACCATTCAACCTAATAGTTGAACACTAATCCGAGATTCACATTATGGGCATGTTGATTACAGTCAAGAATGCAATATAAACACATCAAATAAACATATACGAGCCAGATTGTATATTAAATAGACGCTTTAGAGAGAAACAAAACTACAAAGATAAGTTATATTGAAACAGGTTTTTCTGAAACGGCCAAGTGTATATTTCGTGTATCTTCCAGTCACTGCGCTGTCAATTCGTCAAGATTTTTAACAAAAGTGTCAAGATGTGTCTTTTGACGTTTTTATGACGCCAACTTGAGGCAAGGTCACCCTGGAAGGCCACGCGAGGCGTTAAGTTCAAGGTTAACATCGTGTCATATTCATTAACACAAAACATATCATTGCCTATATAGTAAGCTGTAAGTGAGGCGTTGTCTCATATAGACTATCTCCTACCGAGGGAAACGTCATACTAAAGAGTGAAGGAGCCAGTTGGAGATGGTGAGCTTTGCACCGAAATATACCTTTCAATAAAAGGAAGCGACAAAACATCTACATGCACTTTTACTTATGATTTAAGCACATTATGAAAACAAGCACATCAAGTCTCCATTAACAAGATTCGCTGGAAAACATCTTCAAGTTAATAATGGATTTGAACGCATGTGTTTAATAAAGTGAATTAAAATAGATCAATTAAATTCATTAAAACATCAAAATGATTAAATAAGTTAAACGTATTAAGTAAGTTAAGGTATTAGGATGGTAGAAGGTCTTACCAACAAGGTAGGGTTTTTGTATAGAATCCCACTGAGCGTGTGTCCTGCCCGATGCTTTGAGGAGTATCTTCTGTCTTGTCGACACAGCACACAGACAAAGCCGTATTCCAGCAGGTTTATAAATAGGGTCAGTGTTTCTGTGGATGTGCAGCACGGCAAGTTTGCCTCACCACGAAATCCCAAAGTAATGAAAACAATTACTACAATCTGATCTGATGCAAGACTATAACCTCCGAGTTGACCGTTAGGTGCAAGCAGCAGGAATGGCACGACTCTCCGTTTTGGAAAGTTTAATGTCTTTAAACGTATTCTGTTTCCATGGAAACAAGTTTGTTATCACTATACTGATGATGAAGCAGTTGCAGAGCAGTCAAGCTAGACACTTGGTATTTATAGTGAAGATGGGTCTGGTTGAGTGTGTAATTTAATGCGTGATATTGGGCACAGCGGGTGACCATTGGTCACATGTTGAGCAACGGTCGCTTTACATATAAGGTATGATGCAAATCCCGCTGCTTACATCATCATGGACTTATGCTTAGTCTATGAATATATATAATTTTGATAATAACAAACAAGCCCATTTAAATTGAAAAGGAGCCCTAGAAGGACCAGAGATGAACCTAGGAAATCTAGACTTGCTTTATTTAGGGCTTTAGCACTGCAGAGAGGGCTTGGCAGTAGGGAAATTAATGTGGTTCAGGGACTGTGAGACAGACTAGAAGCCAAGCTCACTGGAGAGCTGTGAAAACTGCTGTACAGCGCCGCGAATGAGCTGTCGCTGCACGGAGCTTGGTGTTTCTAGGAAGTCTTGCAAACCGAAACCGAGAGAGCGCGATGGTGTTTATCAGTGATATATTAGCCACGTTTTCCAAGAAAGTAACACTCGTTCACATACTCGGAAGTCACATGGTGGATAGGGTTAGTATAGTGTCATTTGTCCTTAGTGAGAGGATCCCGTTCTTACTGCCTCAGTCGGATTCTGTCGGGCAAGACCACCCAGCGGGTAAGGTATACTGAACAATGTCGAAAACAGTAAACACTTCAAATTTGATTAGGAGAGACTTTTACAGAGAAATACATGTATGTAATTTAGTAGGCATATTGTGTTTCAGGTGTAGCTCCATAATCCCAGTTGATCTGACTGAACGGTGAAATTCAATCTTGATCCGTAAGCGTGCAGGTATGTTTACTGTTGTACAGGGTCAATATACTGGTGTCAGAATCGATAATGCGTCATATGTGCCTCGTGTCACAGATTAAATCATAGACACAGGAGATCCTGATAAGAGTAACATCCATGGCAGACACTACACTGATTCAAGCAACATGTATGTCAGACACTGATTAATGTAATGCGTATTGATAATGCTGATTTGCAGGTTTTACGCGCTCTTCCGAAATGATTTGTATTTCAGGGTCAACATGAAAGTTACATGTATGACAAGTCACTGACAGGATGAATGTTCAAATCAAACACTGTCTGAGACACTGGTCAAAGTAACAAGCATGACAAACACTGAGTGAAGTTTTAAGCATGGGAGACATCTGTTACGTTTTTCCAAATAACCGATAATTTGTTGTTTGAGCCAGTAAGTGTGAGCGAGTTGGGTTCTACGTCAATAGTTCAGCAATATCACGATGGGGGACACCAGAAATGGGCTTCACACATTGTACCATGTGGGGAATCGAACCCGGGCATTCGCGTGACACTTGCACCACAAGTGCCGCCCCAGCAGTGTAACTGACGTCATTGCACAATAAGGCTATATATAGCAACATAAAGGATTCTCAGGCCTCATTTTTCGTGAAAGTGAGAATCTATTGTTTTCGTATATATTTTGTTGGAAACGAGCGTGATGAAGAACAATTTTTCCCAATAAGAATAGCAACAAACTTAACGAGGCACTTTGTTTCAAACAAAACATATTTGTGTTCATTATATTTATGACATATTCATCTTCATATTTGTATTAGCATAAATTATGGCCTGACGCGCAGGATTGAAAGTGACATCCCATGCGGGAGAAAATTATTTTGGCATAATTATTCTCCTTACAGTGCATATGTTCCTCGACATGAGCGGTTTCACAGGAATACAAGGTTTTGAGAGGGGAAGAGGAAGAGGGCGTGGTAGAGGACGAGGGAGGGGCAGAGGACGAGGCAGGGGTAGGGGAAGAGGTGTGGCTTCATCAGAGAACACAGATGAATCGACAGAAGTCACTGGTGAGACTGACCTGTTAAAAGCACAGTGTCACATATTTTCGACAATATTTTGGCCTCTATTATATATATTTCGGAATATGTACTCACTTAAGCTCGTACTAATGCAATAAAATACTTATTTTCCTTTACGACTTGCCTGAAATCGATAATTCAAACTTCGGTGCGAACAGCTGCAAAACAGTAACACATGCCATATATGGAATGTAAACAATTGCTCCGTACATCGAAAACTGTCGCACGCGGTGTTGTCGATGTTTGCCGAACTGGTTTCAATCACATGTTGCGTTATAGGATATTTGTAAAGAGCTCTCCAAAGGACATAACTCTATTGGGGTTCGCTTGAGTGGGGTAGTGAGGGAGTGACTTTAGTTTTAGGCCGCACTCAGCAATATTCCAGCAATATGGCGGCGGTCTGTAAATAATCGAATCTGGACCAGGCAATCCAGTGATCAACAACATGAGCATCTATCTGCGCGATTTGGAACCGATGACATGTGTCTACCAAGTCAGCGAGCCAGACCACCCGATCCCGTTAGTCTCCTCTTACGACAAGCATGAGTTTCGTCACGATATGGCTGAAATATTGCCGATGTGACGTTAAATAATAACTCACTAACTCAAGCATGAGTTACTGAACATCAATATTCAAACCCGGACCTTCACGGGTCGTTTACATTCAAAACATGCCGGGACATTAAACAACAGGCAAATGCATTCAAAACGTTTAACGGTGACCTTTAGGGCAGATAAACAAATCATTTAACAATAAAGAATGTGACTGATGTTTTAGTACAGAGTGTAAGACGAGGCCTGACCGGAGGGGCGAGGGAACTGTGTGAACGATACATAGGGGACACTTGTTATTGTCCTCGTGTCCACCACCAGAAGAAGGCTCCGTATGTGTGGCAGTACCTGGACAACATTGGCGATTGGAAACTGTTGTCCAACAGTGAGATGGAGAAGGTGGAGGAATCGTTCTGTGACAATGACGACAGCACAGTGGCTGAGGTGAGTTCTATCAATCCTTTACGTAACCACACCGATGAATGGGGTTCAATTACCATTTCTGGTGCCTTTCTCCTCACAGCTGATCAAAGGAATTTTATTGTTGATTATTCCATTCTTTTGAGTGGGTATTTTTAGACCATGTGCGGATCTTTTTACAAACACTTCATGAATGTTCATTCTGGGACATCGGTTTTGCACAACTTTTTTCTTACCACAACGATTATATCTAGGTTGAAAAAGGCGAGGCGAAACGGCGTTTTGCATTCCTCACTTCTGTAGACTTTTTGCATGTGATTGCTGCATTTGAACAGTAACAAACGATCTATATATTTGCCAAGCGGGGAAATACTGGCTGTAACTCATAATGCTGCTTTACTTCTTAGTTTGTATATATTTGCTTGTGTAACTTTACGAAAAAAAATTAAAATGAAATTGCTAATTGCGATCTTGTATTGAGGTGATATAAGACAAAATATATATATTATGGATGTCAACTTCCTTATTGTATATTGTATACACAACACAAGGAAAAGCCCAGAACGTGTGTACAATAAAAACAAATTGACATCCATAATTTTTGTCTTATACTTGAATACCAACATCTGTATGCCTCTCAAGAACCTCACGAGGTGATATATTGTTCCCAGAAATTATTGAGAAAGTTGTTTCGGCAAATATCTAATACATGTATATAAACTATAGAAGTTTTAATAAAATGAATATGTTGAGATATGAGTTCTCTTACAGTCTAAGTGTCTTTTCAGTACTTTGTGAGACCTCCCTGCCCAGCAATACACGACTAAATGCGTCTAGGTACACTACCGATCAAAGTTTTCATGAAATCGTGTGACAGCCTATCCCAATCTTGGACCACTTTTTTCTTCATGTCCTCAATATTTCTAAGCCCATTTTGGTTTATTCTGTCCTTCATTAGTCTCCAAACATTTTCAATAGGGTTAAGATCTGGGCTGGCCAGTCTAAAACTTGAACTTTTTCGTCGGACAACCACTGTTTTATGTAGCCCGCAGTGTGTTTTTGGGTCGATATCATGCTGGAAAATCTAATTATCTTCATACAGTGTTCGGGCCGTCGGAAGAAAGTGATCATTTAAGATGTCAACATATCTTCGTCGAATTTCCAGTGCAAATGCACAACGGCGTCACTCCACAAGATGATATCCCACCCCACATATGAAATTTCGGGCTATGTTTTGAGCATTGGTAGATAGGTTTCACGGTATCTTTTGTCCACATTTTCACACAGATCGGGAAAAGCCAGACAGAACTTTCATCAGAAAAGAAAACATTTTCCCAATCTTGTTTTTTGTGAGCCCTACACAAGTTTAAACGTCTTTCTGTTTGTGCATCTTTCATCAATGGTGAGGGAATTCCGCACTGTGTATGTAATGAGTATTTCACCGTTACTGAAGGACACACTATTCACTATTATTTCTGTTCTGTGCTTGGGATTGACTTATATGAAGAACCCACAAAGTTTTATCTAATGTAATATAATTTTCAGGTCCGGTTACATGGAGAAATTGCATCATCAGAAGTAAACTTTGAAGAAATACTTGACCCACCACGGCAGAAGTCGTACAACAAGCTCAGTTTCCGGCGACTGTCAACCCGATCTTACGTGGAAGCCGGAACTGACGACATATCTCGTTACACGCAGTGGGTGTGGTACTGGCAGGACAACAGTAAAGAGTGGTCGCCCTTTATACCGGTAACCATGACTTGGAATGTCCCGCCATGACACTCCTTCCTCGCATAACCTACTAAATTTGCCAGTTTGACTGGCAACGCTAGGTCTAAGGTACCAATCAGAATGCGGGTTCCAAACAAACCTCTATGTTGGGTTGGCAGTTTCAACAACATGGCGCCCAGTCCCACTGATAAGGATGTTGTTTATGTTTGATACAATAAGCAACAGCACAAAAAACACTCAAAAATCGTTTTGCTGAAAAGGACGTCTGAATGACTTTTAAAACTAGGTAGGCTTCGTGCAGGCTAGGGGGGATTTTCAGGATAAGAGGTATAGCTGAGGAAATATTGATGAAAACATCCCTCATCCACATCATTCTGCTCCTACAGCCGGAACTTCAGCTGACCCTGGAGACCAAGTACCTGGCTGGACAGGACGCTTACTTCTACACTATCGCAGATCAGGAATACCGCCTGGACTTCACCTCTCTGGTTCAGGTCAACAGGAAGTATCTAACTCGGAGGCCAGTTCAGAGGAGGCCGATGTTTGTATCTCTTGATACTGCCAGGAGCTACCAACAGACGTGGTAAGATATCTTGGGAATCAGTGCTATGTAGGTTCACTGAGATCTTTCACTAGAGACAGTTAAGTGTGTTCACTGAGGCCTTTCACTGGAGACCTGTCTTGTGTCTATCGACACGCCCCACACTAACAGTCCCTGCCTGGTGCTCGGCATTAATTGGTACAACAAGGACTGGTCGGCTCGGAGTCAGTATACTGTGTCTGAGTGGGGTATTCATGCTTCACTGCGGCATGGTATCTCAGTGAGCTAGCACTATAAAACCAGCTTAAGTCTGGGCAAGTACAAGCAGCTGCACATACACATACACACGCATGCAGGTCGTCATATGAGCGAAATATTCTCAAGCACGACGTTAAACCCAATTTCACCTCACCCCCCACACTAACAGCAGATGTGGTAAAACAAGTGACATTTATGGACACTGATGCCTTTCACAAGAGACCGGTGTCCTAGCAAGGTGTCATATTCATTGGTGTCCTAGCAAGGTGTCATATTCATTAACAATTAAGTAAGTTGATATGAAAATATCCTACGATTCTGTCCACTTGCTCAGCACAAAGCCATACATAATAACATACGATAACATTGTAATTTCCAGAACTATAATTCAGTTCCAGTTTATTGATGTCCCTGTCGGCAGTAACACCAGCTGACGTCCCCTCGAACTGGACTCCACTTGACCGTTATCAGAACAGTGAAAAAGTGGAACTGGATACAAGCTCCGATGAATTTACCACTGTGATGTCATCCATCTACAAAACTCTGTCAGCGAATAGATGTCAAGGCCAGCGAGTATACAGACTGCAGAATGCTTTACTTTGGCACAATTTCCTCAGGTAAAGTATTGAGGTCTTCTATACATAACGCATGTACATACAGAATGTGCAATATATACACCAGCAGCCGAGTGTCTACACGTCACTGCCAGCTGCTGTCAAGCCCTCGCTGACAGTTTATTAAAAGTTACATGGCGGTGGATTTTGTTCTAGTCTGTAGGGGCGGTGGGGTAGCCCTAGTGGTTAAAGCGTTGGCTCGTCACGCCGAAGGCCAGGTTCGATTCACCACATGGGCACAATGTGTTAAGCCCATTCCTGGTGTCCCCGCCGTGATATTGCTGGAATATTGCTAAAAGCGGCGTAAAACTAAACTCAGTCAGTCAGTCAGTCTAGTCTGTAGTGTTATTGGCAGTAAACTGACAGAAATACTTGTTAACTTCATCTGTCTCCGCCTATAGTAGTTTCAACATCCCTACCCAGTGTCCGGATGGGCCGATATTCGAGACATTCGGGAAGTATCGTGAGGTAACAATTTCTTCTTGGCTGGTTGAGAACAACGAGTTCTGCGACTTATCCACTTGTCCAGTGACCTTATACACGATTCGTACCCAAGAAAATGATAAACCCTCACTTAAACTGTTTTTGTTACATTCATCCGTTATTTTGGTGACCCGTACTCAAATTTGGAGAACACACACACACACAAATATGGATGACTCGCTGTAAGGCAATATCGTTATTCATCAACATTTACACCGACCTTTATGCATTTTATGGTTTCATTACAGAGCTACAGATAACTTCTTGGGTCATTGAGTTATGTACTCGCTTGTGTCAATCTCAATTGGGTATCCTAATTTTCCTTTGAGTAACCAAATAAATTGTACCCACCTCACTCAAACTCAATTGGGTATTTTGCCATTTTCCATTAATTGTAAAATTATAGTAAAGTTTATGTGTTGGTTTACGTGTTTGTTATTTATGTTGGATCTGTTAACATGAGAAACGATAAGAAAGACTGCAAGTTGCCAAGGTCAGGTGCTGAAATAGAACCCTTTAATATACCTCAGTTATTTTATCTTTTTTGTTTGTACACATGTAAGATCAGATTTATTGAGTATTTAAAAAAATGAAGCGTACTTGTACGCAATGGACTAAACAGGAATTGAGTTTTCACATAAATATTTGCGTAATTTACGCAGATACGCAGCTTATCTGTACCTCTGGTTTCATTCATTAAAATCAATCAACCAATGAACTCCACAATGTCTGTGATTTTAGTCAAGTGGCCGTAGCAGATAATATCAATCAGCATCTGAAATGGTAGGTTTATTGCTTATCTGGCAGTCTGTAATATACTGGTAACAATGTCGTTCATTCATCAACGACCGTGAAGATCCGGGGTAGAATAGGTCTTCAGCAACCCATGTGCTTGCCATAAAAGACGACTATGCTTGTCGCGACTATGGATCGGGTGGTCAGTTTCGCTGACTTGGTTGACACATGTCATCGGTTCCCAATTGCGCAGATCGATGCTCATGCTGTTGATCACTGCAGACTCGATTATTTACAGACCGCCGCCATATAGCTGGGATATTGCGGAGTGCGGCGTAAAACTAAACTCACTCACTCATTCATCAACATTTACACCGACCTTTATGCATTATATGGTTTCATTCATTAAATTAATCAACCAATTAACTCCACCAATGTCCTCAAGTGGCCCTGGCAGATAAACTCAATCAGCATCTGAAATGGTAGGTTTATTGCTTATCTGGCGGACTGTAATATACAGTAACATGAGGTAATGAATAACCAATAAGTCATGGTTTCACATTGTCCTTGAAGTCGGTCGGTGGAAGGAATTTACACAGTCGGTATGAAACTATTTGTGAACACAATTGCAAGTCAAATTTCAAATCTTATCTATCTTACTTTTAGGTTCGAGTCATCCAGTTGATTAGATATGAGTGGGTACATGTTATCCAATATGTGGGTTCGATACCGCCGAAAACGTTCAGGTGCAGATCTCATGGGTACAGGTTGTCCAGTTTGCAATATTACTATACCAGTCTGACACTGTTTCCGGATTCAAAACGGAGCACTTGGCACTCTCAAGGCAATCGACAGTGACTTGTTTCAGGAAACTCGTATTTGTTTTAGGGCGTGTTATGTATTGTCACTGTGACAGATTTTACCCATTGTAGTGTCTTTTTTGCGTGGCATCATAATCCTGTGTGTATGAATATGTCTTATGAAACATTCCATTTACTGATCTCATATTTAGTTCTGAACGAAACAAATGCTGGGCTAACCTTCAGATCAATCCTGCTTAAATTATTAGAAAACGGAAAATGGGTTTATCAAAATATACAAAAACTATATTTCATAGATGCATAAAAACGCTTAGAAATCACCTATTTAAATATAAACATGATGTTTCAGTATGAAGAAGACACTTCAGATGTCTCATAGCACAGAGAGCATTGATCAGCGACAACTCTTCCACGGCACAGACACTCTAGACGTGGTCAACAACATCTGCATCAACAACTTTGACTTCAGAGTCAGCGGCAAGAACGCCACGGTGTACGGCAAGGGGGCGTATTTCGCCCGTGACGCTAAGTATAGTCACAGTTACACCAAAGGCAGGAATAGGTACATGTTCCTAGCCCGAGTGCTTGTTGGTAAGTACACACTGGGAGACAGCAGCTACACGAGGCCTCCACCGAGAAAAGGCCACGTGTTGTACGATTCTTGCGTCAACGACATTAACAACCCTTCAATATTTGTTATATTTGAGCGGAATCAGTGCTACCCCGAGTACCTTGTCGAGTACAGAGATGAAACTGTTGACGAATCCGTGTCTGTGAGCAGAAGTATTGGAAATGTGACAAGATCACCTGCGAGTGCTAGTGCGCCAGCCAAGACCGCCCCAGTTCCCTCTATGATCCGAAAACCGGCTCCACCTGCTCCAGTTGGATCCAGTACCCCAACCTACTCCAGCATCACGTCGTCAATCAGGACGAGATTGCCTCCGCCTGTTCCAACACAACCTGCTAAAGTCGTCAATCCTGTGTCATCTTCAGGCCCCAGTATCACCAGGCCCTCTTCAATGAGTGCGTCAACATACGAACATGCATATATTGGATCCAGTTCCCCCACCTACCCATCGCCCGTCTCCAGCAGCAACACACCGTCATTCAGGACGAGAGCGCCTCCCAGTAACCAGGCATATGGCAGTTCTGCAGGGCACAACCCCACCCGCTTTTCCGGAGGAGAAATGCCTGTTAGTCGAAACTCAGGCATCTTCTCCTCTCGTTCCTCCTTCTCAGACAATGTTGCTGGAGATCGGCAGAACATACCCAAGAAGAAGTCGTGTATATTAATGTAACGTTCGACCGTTTGAGAACCGTATTCGTCTACATTATCCTTCAACTCTTACCCGTCCATAGAGACGACTGCATGGATCGGGCGGTGACGTAAAGTGATGCGATGCGATCGGTAGAATGTCCACCGACATCGTCGATCATTGCTGCTGTTATCTTGTCTGGATCCAGACATCCATAGAAACATCCAGCCCATTACCAGATGGCGAGTTAAAGAACACCAGAACCGAATTACCAGCCTCCAAAAAGTTTCCGTCCAAAAAGTTTCCGTCTGGAAAGGAAATTACAGAAGTCTTTCAACATTCAACATCCTAAAAGGTTGTCAAGTCTGCAATATCCCATTAGCTTACCAGAACAGATTAGACAATATAATCAAAACCAATTATAACTCTTCTGTGTCATCGGCGTCCATTTTGTTATATTACCTTGTTTTGAGGAGCACATGTATAATAGACGAATCCAAATTCCACGTGTTCCTGATTATAGTTCTGGGTTTGCCAGCATCCTACGCGTGCTTGTTGGTTTCCGCGAAGTGGTAAACGTCAAGGACTAGCCAAACTGGACTTCTCTACCGGTGAAGCTGATCTTACTGAAATATTAACCTAAGTGACCTTAAATTCAAACCACGGATTTATTTTGCCAGTATGTGTGTATATATGTATTGCTTCGCCTTGTATATGACGCTTCTGGTTTCACAATTATGTTGATCATGTTTAACACGCTCAAAACACTTTTATTCACTTCCAGTTACTTCCTCTTGTTTTCAACCCCCTTTTATATATATATTATCATCACATTTTGTGCAATTACTGTGCGATTTCCGTATATCGTTGATAATTTATTTTTGCACATATGCAGGTATTTAATAGCTCACTATGTAATTTCGTCACTGTCATCCACAAATTATGGCTGCAGTAATGCCGATATTACTTCAGCTCACTCACTCACTTGATGAAATGGTACAATCTACAGCAAAACGCAATAAAAATGATCATCCATATTATTTTATTGTTGGTCATGTGAGGTAAACAAGGTTTAAGGTAACACTGCCACCCAGGCCTCAGCTGCCGGGAGACGATTTGCCATCGGACGCAATTGAGCAACTGTCTGTAAGTACAGCGGACAAAAACCTATATGCCTATATGCATATCAAACACGGGTGTTCATTTATTTCTTCAACTTAAACAAATAGACAAAAAGAACAAAGGATGCCTATCAGAAGCCGTTATTTGAAAGTACCCCTTACGGTTCTAGTGTGATTTTAATACAGTATCCCAGCAGTACAAGCATTTTACGATTTCTGATGAATGGATGGTATGATGACTGAGATTGATTCGGGTCCCCTTTCTGTGTTTTATACCGTGATGTTTTATCATACCATGTCATAATATCATGTCAACTGACTAATATTTAAAACACACGTTAGATTTTTTTGAAACCGTAAACTGGATCAATCCCATTTTGCCATTGCTATGATCTCCGCTGTAACACCATGTGTATTTTTAGTACAGTGCTGTTAGATGATCTACTTTGGTACAGATAATCGCATCTGTGAGCAGCTCCCTCCATAACGATTTTGGATTTGACTACGGGGTGTCTCAAAATGTTTTCGTAATAGATCCAAGTGTGCATAGCATTTGATACATACCACTGACGCATTGATAAATATCATCATCAAGGTACTGCTTCAAACTGCGTGCATTTCTTGAAATGGCCGTTGACAGTAGTTCGTGAAGAAATATTTATTGAACAAAAATCATGTATGGCACAATGCCAGGCAGCATCAGGTTGGGTCAGTCGGGCCACTCTTTAAAATGAGGGTATCAACAAATACATCGTTAAAACACTCAGTAGTACATATGGGATGTCGGCACAGCCTTGCAGTATCGTCATCCGTGTCTGACGGTAGCAAAGAGCCTTTTCCACTCTACAGTAAGAGCACTGCCAAGTTCCCGGAGAGATAACGAAAGTCAGTGAGTGAATGAGTTTAGTTTTACGCCGTCTTTAGCAATATTCCAGCAATATCGTGGCAGGGAACATCAGAAATGGGCTTCACACATTGTACCCATGTGGGGAATCGAACCCGGCTCTTCGGCGTGACGAGCGAACGCTTTAACGACTAGGCTACCCCACCGCCCCTGCGGAAAGACAGTGGGTCGTGAGAAGACCTGCAGTTATTTCCACATGTGTTTCACATGACTGGGCTGGCCACCCCATGGCAGCAGGGTCCACTGGCCATTGTGTTGTGTATTCCAAATTTCAGGTATATCATTCTTACATGAGGCTGGATAACATCTTGTCACGTCATGGACGATAGATTGCGTCATATTGTTCCAACGACAAAATTGTTGACACTACATTTCAGGAACTTGAAAACAATAAAACTGTAACAGTGTGGTACATAATATTGAACAAACCAAACTATTTATCTTCTAAGTATGCCATGGTCGTCACGCAGTAAAGGTAAGATAACTATCTAAGACTAAATCTAAATCCTGAGTCAAAACTGGGTAATATACTCATGCCAGTGATGGTTGTCACCCCTCCCCACCCCAACCCTCATTACTCCCCACACCCCTCACCAATTTAAAAATTGAAGGGGGTGACAACCATTATTGGCATGAGTATACTATTCTTTTGCACTGACATTCTTTATCGTAAACAAAAACATAACATCATAAAGGGAAGTGATACACTATTGTGTCATGATTGAACGTGTCACAAGGAAGGACACTAAAGACTGAGTTAAAAGACATGTTTTAAACCGAAACATGTACAACTTCTCTGAGTATTGAGTGAGTATGGTTTTACGCCGCTTTTAGCAATATTCCTGCAATATCACTGGGGACATCATCTCTGTGAGTAGACAAGGTTTCCTTGGTTACGGATGTTTTGTTATCTCGCCCTGGCTTTATTTAATTTTCTATTTCATAAACATTAAACTTGAAACGAATAGTTAATATTTCAGGTCAGACAAAATGTGATATTCATTGGTGTTATGACACGTGTCATTTATCTGTGTGGATGTTTGACAAGTGTCCGTCATGAGAGTTGATGTCAATAACGGAGAGCCGTGCCTACTCTCACACTTTCTGGTGGTCTGCGTTAATGGTCGAGTATCACATGGATCTAAAGCTACGCGTTGAACATAAACTAGGAAGGTGAGGACTTCTGATCTCCATTCATTTGTGAGTAATTATCAACACTCGTAGTCATCTGTCGACGAAACGTTTGCAGAATCTGTTTTGGAGGAATATTATGATGATTCTTATACATTTCGCACGTGTTCTCGGTACGTAAGTCCCCAAACATTCAAAGTTCATTTAAACCTACTACTATTTTTAATCGTAGTTTATATATGGTATTTTAATTTATGGCTAGATTATCTAAAATTGCCAATAGCTGAAGGGATGGTGTAAATCCAGCTAAGTACCCATGGCACCTTAGTATGGTGATCTACCTTCAGTTGTTAGCAGTCTATAGCCTGTTTTTACATTGCATCGTCTTCTATAGTTAAAATGTTTTAAGTTTAATTACTAGTTTTTAAATTTCCATCTGTGATAAACTAGCTGTTCTACTATCCTTCGGTGACAGGTTTTTATAATTTACCTATAATTATTATAAATATATAACTTGATATAGTCACGATATTGCTGAAATACTGCCGATGTGACTTAAAACTTTAACACACTCACTCACGTGTTCTCAGCTGTTTACATGAAGACATGTCGACCAGTGGGCAATATTGCTGATTGCCGATTTAACTTATTTTCAGTATATTGATGGCTTGCATGCTTTGAAGAAGCAATGTAGAAGTGTCTGTGTTTGGGATGACGTAATTAAATTTACAAGTCAACCGTCAGAATTTTCAGGTGGGTGAATACACAATTCATGATTGAAAAGGAGGAATTAGCCTCAACTGAAGCCCGAATAGTAGGACTGACAGTTTGTAGTTATATTCCAACACACTTAAGAATCGTTAGCCCTTAGTTCAAACTGGTAGATTCTCTGAGGGTGTGGGTTCGAATCGGATGGGACTCAACCAAAGTAAAAGTACTAGAATCTGTACAAATATAACATTTACTAAGAAAGTGTAATCCCAAATATAACATATGACAATATTGACATATATTTTTGGTAATGTATATAATTATTACTGCCCCATTTAATGAACCTTCCAGGTTATACATACCAGGCAAGACAAAATGATATTTAAGTTGTGGATCTTATTAAAGGTAACTAACGAGTGTAATTAGACGAAAGGGCTCTGTCAATTTTAAATGATCAAATCATTGATGTGTTGATTTGGCATCCCCTTGTTACCATCTGTGACGTGAATACGGGCTCAGTCATATCGATATTTAATAGCGTAGACAATAAAATGCTCAGGTGCAATCTACACTGCTGGTGCGGTAATGATAAATCGATCTAATGAATGGAAATATCATAATTAGATTATTAGAAATATCGAAGAGGGTGTACCAGACACACCTTCGTGCCAATATGCACATTCATTGTAAACAGACATGAAGATCAAATTCACCGCCTGACAAGAATGCGTATATATATACATATGACATATATAAACATATATCTGCTAGTTGTATGCTTGTTACAGTTAATGTGTGAAATGATTAAAATTCACATTCAGCCAATGCACAAAGCCTCTTTACATTCCCGTCATGTTTTAAACTTGATTTGTAATGATAAGCTAAAGCCACAAAGCCCGTTCCTATATCCACAAGAAATCCCGCTAAAAGCAGAGTCATCTCTACGATTCCGACTATATCATGAGTCTTCATTAATGACCACCAAAAGATGATAGCAACAGGTAATGGAAAAACCATTGATTGTTCCTCAAATGTGATGAAATGTACACTCCAAGGGCTGGAGTGAGTGAGTTAATATTTAACGTCACATCGGCAATATCTCAGCCATACCGTGACGACCAAGAGCTGGAGCTCCCGGGATACAGCCCGAGATGAACAGAAAGGTAACTATTGGAAAGTCCTGCAATACAGTTTTAAGTCGCTGTCATGGCTTATAAATGAACACGTCAACAACAATTCCTAAATAATGCTTATTTAATAATTATGCGCCGTGCTTTCTTAAGAGGCGACTAACAGGATCAGGTGGTCAGACTTACCTACTTGCCTGACACATGTCATCGTATCTCTATTGTGTAGACCGATGCTGAGGTGTCAATCACTTGATTTTCTGGTCCAGACATGATTATTGATATACCGCCGTCATATAGCTGGAGCGCGGCATTAAAAAACAAACAAACAAAACAAAAATAAGTTTTAAACAGACTCAGAGTACAGTCTTAGATGTCATCAACAAATCTGAACTTGACGCTTTTATTGACCCAATAAAATCGTTCATATAATTGAATTCAATAATACTAAGACAAACGATTGTTGTGATCAACAGGCTAATGCCAGGGTCAGTCGGTACAAATTATAGGGCATTTAGAGCAACGTTTAATTAAATGGACAATCCAGTGATCAGGTGAGGACTGATTAGGTACCAATAATGTGGTTAATGATGCAACGTAAATTGATTGAAACGTAACATGTGTTCTCCGACAAGCACCGCTATGTATAATGTGTCCAGAGGTTTGTTTAGGCACTCGGACACATTCTTCCACAGAAGGCACACCGAGGCATGAGGTAAAGTACGATTACGACTGTTCATCCTTGCAACCTATCATAATTTCTAGCAACCTATAATAAATGTACGATTCTTCACAGTAAGAGAAAGGTCATTAGAAAGTATTCTTTTGCTATATCGTATCAACGTTTATATTAAAGGACCGGGATAGTACTGTTTTAACAGTAGTGCATGTATCACCTACTCAATGTCTCTTCTTTTGGTAAGAGGCGACAGAAGGGATCGGGTGGTCAGGCTAGCTGACTTCATTGGCACATGTCATCGTATGTCATTGCGTACATTGATGCTCATGCTGTTGATCACTGAACGTCCGGGTCCAGACTCGATCATTACCATACAGCCGCCATATAGCTGGAATATTGCTGAGTGCGGCGTAAAACTAAACGCACGCATTCACCCACTCTTTTTGTGGTACTCGTGCTCAGACGGCACATGTCCATACATGCCTTGTCGATTTCTCTTTTGTACTGAATTCCAAAGATCCACACAAATAGCAAATGCAACCAAATGCATGTCTCAAAGATTAACCAGATCCTGAAGAAGGATTCTCAGAAAGTATTTGAAACAAGCGGAATTACTACCGTGTGGAATTTTCAAAACTGAATGATTTGCTTAAATGTTAACAGTCACAGGAATTGTCAGAGTTTGGTACTGCTGAACTTTGTGCATATCTATCCTAGAGGACAAATTTAGGAAAAAGTTATTTCTTTGATCATCATTTGTAAACAAACGTGGTTCGCATTGAGCAACTTATCTATCTTTTGTACATATCTATCCTAGAGGACAAATTTAGGAAAAAGTTATTTCTTTGATCATCATTTGTAAACAAACGTGGTTCGCATTGAGCAACTTATTTATCTTTTGTGCATATCTAACCTACACGACAAATTTAGGAAAAAGTTATTTCCTTGATAATCATTTGTAAACAAACGTGGTTCGCATTGAGCAACTTATCTATCTTGTGTGCATATCTCTCCTACACGACAAACCTTTAGGAAAAGGTTAAGTCCTTGATCGTTATTTGTAAGTAAAGTTTATTGGTACTTTTAGAGCAATTTACCTATCTTGTGAAGTTTACTTTGAAACAATATGTGAAATGCTGGACCTCATCATTGACAAAATCATTCAAACAAATAGGCATCACCAAGGACCAATTATGCTCTGCTGCTTGTGCATCTGTTTCTCTATGCACGTGATTCAGAATGTCTGTTCGGATTGGCGAAATCTGAACCAGGTGATCTGGTTTTCGATGTTTAATTTGAGCCGCAGGTATATCGCTATTCTAATCTCGTTCAATAGCCTTGAAAAACCTTTTCAAGGGTTTTGTCACTCATACATAAATGTCTTCATGTAACATGGAAGAGTAATTAGCATGTGGTAATTTACTTTCCGTTTCATACATTTATTAATGAAGCATATCAGCTAATATTGTTGCAAGATGTATGCTTCAATTTACTGTAATTCGTGGTTTTCAGCTCAGGTGAAGCGATAAACGTGTGTGCTAGTAATGCACATTGTCATATCAACAGTATCATAATTTTCAGGCGGAACAATTTAACGAAACTAAAGGCTTAGATGCTGTGTTGTTGATAGTAAATTATCAAATTGTTCTCCGCATACATATGTGTCATTTGTTTTGTTTTTTTGTTGTTGTGATCTAATGATATAAATAATCTTTTGATGTTCATCGGACTGTAATGTTCAACAGCAACAGAGAGCGGCTAAATAAGGATACCTTTATCTTATAAATATTCAATCAGCTGTTACATGTTTCAGGAATATCACGATGTCGTCGAACGTTGCAACCATTAATGAGACGGGGAGACGTCGACGTCATTGTTTCAGCAACATCATCGGCTTCGCTAGCGTCTTCAGCGTAGCGTCTCTTGTTGTGGAGACAGTAAAGACGTACACGGTGTCCCAGATTACGACGTTAGAGACACAGTTTGGGCTCAGTAGCACCAAAAGCGGTTTTCTAGTAAGCTGCAATGAAATCGGTTTCCTTTCGACCATTTTCCTTTTCGGCCATTTTGGAGGAAAGCGGTTCATACCGAGGATCCTGTCTTGCGCACTGGTGTTGTTTGGCTTGGCTAATTGCATGCTGGGACTGTTGCGCTTCATAAACCCTACGTCACTTCCTGGTATAGATGAAGCATCTTTCAATCACTCCTCCACTCACACTGTCCGGCTTTGTGAGGATTCAGCAAATGTCAGCGAACGATGTCCTGATGTGGAGGATGAAAGGACCGGCACTAGTCAGTGGATGTTCAATGTATTTGCTGTGTGCATGGTGCTTCAAGGGATTGGGAAATCACCACGTCTTTCCCTGGGTCTTCCCTATCTTGACAATAACTCCCGTGATAAACAACAGTCAAGCTTATTCACAGGTGCGTTTCCAAATGCTACATTTGAATAAAAGAGTTTGGGTGAAAGAGTCACATATTTGCAAAGCCAGTAAATTCTCATTCGAAAGTAGATACCAGCCATTAATAAAGCCAGTTATTCCTTGAAGGCATTTTAGACAGCTGATAACTATTTGTCTAGGGCCTCAACGATAACACGATTTAAACCACTAGGGAAGGTTATGTCCATTGTTCTTGGAAGTGTTTTATTAGCATAACTGAATAACTGCCCTAGGGCAATATTTCTATTTAATAACAATAAAGCCCTCGCAGAGTTTATTTAAATAACTACCTTGTAAGGGTGATTAACCTATACATAACTTGTGTATAATATCAGCCGACCAAAAATCTCGCCCAAAATAAGTGGAACATTGCTGTCGCGGCGTATAGCAATATTCATTCATTCAGGATTGACTGACAGAAACATCACTTAACAAAAGATTTTGACTATTGAACCGGGTCTTCAAACCGGATAGTGATAGTTATTTGCGGTTGTGAACCACATATTTATCGAGTCAATATCTAAAAGTTCTATTCTAACGCCATTCGGTGTTGCAAGAATTGTGAAACAACATTCCATTTAAAAAAACAATTACAACGAAAGGTGTCTGCAAGCGATTAGCAATGGCCGTGACCTTTCCAATACACCAAGGGCAGTATATTTTAGTTTTAGATAGGAGTGGTTTCCCTTTGCGTATAATGCCGTTGCCTAGCCCAATGGTTTTAATATTGAAACATCGCAGAGCTTCACATATATTTCCTTTTCGGTCACATTCTGGCAGTGACTTTGTCTTTAGTCCAGTGGTTCCTACTGCAGGTATCATCATGACTATCACATTCCTTGGACCAGTTCTAGCATTCGGGCTGGGTGGAGTATTGAGCAACATACCCGTGGATCTGAGTGGTGAGTTAGTAAATGTTGTTTTATGCCGCATCCAGAGAGGTATTATAAATCTACCACGGTGGCCTGGTAATCAAACAGACATGACAAACCGTGTCTTAATGTAATTATCTACGCCATCAGCTGTAGAGACAACACAATGGCGTTTTTTTAGGGTTTTTTTGGTTTTTGTTTGTTGTTAAACGCTGCACTGCAACGGCGGTCTGTAAATTATTACGTCTGGACAGAATGTTACGACATCATGATCATCGATCTACGCACTTGGGATGCATACCTGCCAACTCTCACGCATTTGCATGAGACTCACACATATGACTCATGTCACGCTCTCACGACAAAACTGATAAACCTCACGCCAAACTGGATTCATATGAAAGATCAAAATCAAAATCCGTTAAAAATCACTCAAATGGGTCTGTACAAATCGTTGTCAGTGCCTTGTCTGAGAAAAGAATTTGCAAATATGCGTTGGCTTCATGGGGGCTTCATGACCGGCCAGGGAGGACGGCCCTTGGACCCCGGCATGTCAAGCGGTTTTGTCTCTTAGGGCTGGAAGCTGTGGGGATAAAATGCATGAACCAAGTGAGCAAACCTCAGAATATCGCGTTAGTCACCTCTTACGACACGCAATCTTGCTGAAGACCAATTTTAACCCAAATGTTGACGAGGCGCTGATGTTTGCAGAATCTCCCGAGCAACGTGCGTTCTTGTTTAAAAGCACGCAACGGACTCGTAAAACGTTCCAATGAATAAACTAAATGCCAATCACATCTGACGTTTCATTAACACATGTATTGCCATGCTTTAATTTCAAGATTCCAAGTTAAGTCCGCTTCATCCTGAGTGGATTGGGGCATGGTGGATTGGCTACCTGTTGTTCGGATGTGCCGCTCTCGTTCTGGCTATACCTTTAGGCTGCTTCCCAAAACACATACGGGCACCCAAAGACCAACACACAGTCCATGTTCTGGAAACTACAACCTCACTTAAGAGAGATATTGTGGGTAGGTATTGCATCTCTATGTTGCTTAGAAGTCTGTTTTCACACTTAGATCGATCTGAGGGACGTTATTTTGATCTTGCTTAGCAAATTGGATGATATACACGGTTGCTTAAAAAGCGAAACGGGCATTCTCATTTGGAATAGAGTCTATAAATTTGGGATCCTATAGTGGAACGAAAAAGTATATTACAGGTATGACTTGAGAATCAACACCGAGGTAGAGCAATTGTTAGGTGGCTCCGGTGTCGTGTTTTACTGTTAGATGAAACTGGCTGCCTCTGCAGATTCGTGAAAACATTCTTATCGTGAATGTGTATATTCAGATTGTAAAATTAAAGTTAAAGTGTCTGTTTTGGGTGTATTACTTATCCGTAACAGCATGGAAAGCACGTTTCAAATTAAGTGATCTTTGTAAGGTGGGGAAACGGACGAAGCAGATTGATAGTTTACAAAGTACATCTACTTCTTTTCGAACACTTGCCGGTTCATGTTTTCTTGATTGAAAATGCCTGGACAATTAAAAGGTGAAATGTCCCCTGTGGTAACGAACAGTAGAATTCTTTGGAGCTTGTATATCAGGTGGGGGATGTGACAACGTTGTGTCGGATGTGCTCTTCGGTGATAAAACGTAAGGTTAGAGAGCGGGGTCACGTCTGATGAAGTTTGTCTGTTGTTTAACGCTGCCCTCAGCAATATCCCAGCTATATTGAGGCGGTTTGTAAATAATCGAGTCTGGACCAGGCAATCCCGTGATCAACATAATGAGCATCGACCTACGCAGTTAATATACGATGACATGTTGACAGCGAGCCTGACCACCCGATCCCGTTAGTCGCCTCTTACGACAAGCATGGGTTGTTGAAGACGAAAAGGCTAAAGTCGCTGAGCAGATTTGCATGTACTGGTCTCCACTGAGTCATTTTGTAATGACCTCCCACACATCATTATCATGCATTTGTGTTGATTTTCATGGAATAAACATCAGTGTAAAAGAACATGTATAATTTTCTCCTTCCGCAGACTTACCAAGATCGGTATTACGGGTTGTGAAGAACCCAGTAATTGCCTGTATCCTTCTGGGCGATTGCAGTGCCTTATTCTTTATTGGGGGCTATTTGAGTTTTGCACCTAAATACATTCAGAGCCAATTTGGCACAACGGCTGCCGAAGCAAATTTCATCTATGGTATGTATTTGGTAATGTGTTGTTTAATGAGGCATGTCCATTGATATGGGTGTTTGTTTAAATAACAACTCAGTATATATTTATCACTTTCAATCTTTTACTATATGTACGGACATTATATCTTAATATGTTATTCCATTGTTCACTGTACCTTGTTCACATACATTTGTAACTCAACGTGACCATACACCTGTGACACACCACATACATACGCAGACAAGCTGTGAAGAGTAAATTTCATTACAGTATTTGAACAGCATTTATTACGCATAAACGCCAGAATTTATGGATGTCAACTTCTATATTTTGATGGATACGACGTTTCGGAGTATATTCTTACCCCTTCATCATTCACCTGAATATATCCCTCATTCACCCGATGAAGGAATAAGAATATACTTCGACGCGTCGTGTCCATCAAAATAAAGAAGTTGATATCCATACAATCTTGCCTTTATCTTATATGAAACCATTTCCAGATAAGTCTCCTTGTGTGACTCTTTGCCCTTGACTTCTTCGGCGCGGATGGGTGTTTGTGCATGTCCGTGCGTGCGCCGATGTTGTGGAGGGTGGGGCGTTGATGTGGGTTCGTTTACATACCGTTGCATGTATAAGTGCGTGAATATCTATGGTGCTAATCATATTAAAGCGGGTTTGTTTCTTTATGTCACAATCTAGGTATTATAGGTTTGTTCTGGGCCATTGTGGGGACATTACTTGGAGGTATCCTCACGAGCAAACTCAAGCTGACCAACAGGGGATGCGTGAAGCTGATAGCCGTTCTTACAGCCTTTGGCACAGTCCTCTACACCCTCATGTGGGCCTTTGGATGTGACAACCCAAACATCAATGGTCTAGGTGGCGATGGGTAAGTGTCAGCTGGAAAACTGGTTTTCAGGTCACCATATGTCATGTCGATCTAAGGTACATCTCAGTAGAAATAATCAGAACACTAATGGTTATGGTGACGTAAGGTAAATAGCAGCTGATAAAGTCAGAAGATCAAGGGTTATGATGGTGACGGGAGGTAAATATCTGATGAAGTCGGGACGTCAAGGGTTATGGAGACGTAAGGTAAATGCCTTTTGAAATACTCAGGACAGAAAGGGCTATCGTGACGTAAGGTAAATATCAGCTGATAAAGTCAGGACAGTAAGGGTTATATTGACGGGAGGTAAATGCAAGTTGACACAATCAGAACATCAATAGAGAATACTACACGAGGTCTCATTACATACGAATTATACGAAACGAGTGTCCTTCCTGTGGTATCTGACCAAGCGAAAGCGAGGTCAGATAACATAGGAAGGCCAAGAGTTTCGTATAATTCGTATGTAATGAGACCGAGTGTGGTATTTTATTTATTACCCACGTCTTACATGCATTAAATTGACAAAATAGCGTATTTTTGTTCATATTTTGGTTTCAAACCGAAACCGGTTTCATAAAGGGTTGCGGAAGAGTTTTGTACTGTAGTACAATATTTGCATGACGTCACACCAAAATGACGTCACTGCCTTGGTAACCGACGTCACGATGCATGTCAGTTGTCATCGCCTCGAACAGCCTCCTACAGTAAACTACTCCGTAGCACACCGTTTCTTGGTTTGCAGTTGCTTCGTTCGGCTAACATCACTGGTGGAAACATTGCGTTTATGTTTTTCGACGGATATAATGTCTCAGTTCGACTCACAATAAAACAGCGACACGGCAACGTTCTCGATGCTTACATTCCCACAATGCATTTAAGTTGTAAAATGAATGAATTTACGTGTTCGTTATGAATGAAAATATAGTTACGTCAGAATGTGACCTTATTGAGAGGTCATCGGTTATCCAATCAAATCGTTCGAATCTCAGGTCAAGTCGTAACGACACAGGTCAACGCGATACGACACTCGTGTGACGTACGAGATTAGTAAATGCAAGTTGAACTACCCATATTGACGTAAATGCAAGTGACCACAAAGGTTATATTGACGGGTAATGAAAAAAAGAACATCAAGGGTTATATTGACGGGGAGGTTGAAAAATGCAAGTGCAAGTTGAAATAATCAGAACATCAAAGGTTATATTGACGGGAGGTAAATGCAAGTTGAAATAATCAGAACATCAAGGGTTATATTGACGGGAGGTAAATGCAAGTTGAAATAATCAGAACATCAAAGGTTATATTGACGGAGGATGAAGTAAATGCAAGTTGAAATAATCAGAACATCAAAGGTTATATTGACGACGGGAGGAAAATGCAAGTTGAAATAATCAGAACATCAAAGGTTATATTGACTGGAGGTAAATGCAAGTTGAAATAATCAGAACATCAAAGGTTATATTGACGGGAGGAAAATGCAAGTTGAAATAATCAGGACATCAAAGGTTATATTGACGGGAGGTAAATGCAAGTTGAAATAATCAGAACATCAAAGGTTATATTGACGGGAGGTAAATGCAAGTTGAAATAATCAGAAAATGCAAGTTGAAATAATCAGAACATCAAAGGTTATATTGACGGGAGGTAAAATGCAAGTTGAAATAATCAGAACATCAAGGGTTATATTGACGGAGGTAAAATGCAAGTTGAAATAATCAGATCAAGGTTATATTGACGGGAGGTAAGGTTATATTGACGGGAGGTAAATGCAAGTTGAAATAATCAGGACATCAAAGGTTATATTGACGGGAGGTAAATGCAAGTTGAAATAATCAGAACATCAAAGGTTATATTGACGAGAGGTAAAGTTGAAATAATCAGAACATCAAAGGGTTATATTGACGGGAGGTAAATGCAAGTTGAAATAATCAGAACATCAAAAGGTTATATTGACGGGAGGTAAATGCAAGTTGAAATAATCAGAACATCAAAGGTTATATTGACGGGAGGTAAATGCAAGTTGAAATAATCAGAACATCAAGGGTTATATTGACGGGAGGTAAATGCAAGTTGAAATAATCAGAACATCAAAGGTTATATTGACGGGAGGTAAATGCAAGTTGAAATAATCAGAACATCAAGGGTTATGGTGACGGGAGGTAAATGCAAGTTGAAATAATCAGAACATCAAAGGTTATATTGACGGGAGGTAAATGCAAGTTGAAATAATCAGAACATCAAAGGTTATATTGACGGGAGGTAAATGCAAATAATCAGAACAATCAAAGGTTATATTGACGGGAGGTAAATGCAAGTTGAAATAATCAGAACATCAAGGGGTTATATTGACGGGAGGTAAATGCAAGTTGAAATAATCAGAACATCAAAGGTTATATTGACGGGAGGTAAAATGCAAGTTGAAATAATCAGAACATCAAGGGTTATATTGACGGGAGGTAAATGCAAGTTGAAATAATCAGAACATCAAAGGTTATATTGACGGGAGGTAAATGCAAGTTGAAATAATCAGAACATCAAAGGGTTATATTGACGGGAGGTAAATGCAAGTTGAAATAATCAGAACATCAAAGGTTATATTGACGGGAGGTAAAATGCAAAGATCATCAAGGCGTTATGGTGACGGGAGGTAAATGCAAGTTGAAATAATCAGAACATCAAAGGTTATATGACGAGAGGAAAATGGTTGAAATAATCAGAACATGATGGTGACGGGAGGTAAATGCAAGTTGAAATAATCAGAACATCAAAGGTTATATTGACGAGAGGTAGATTGAAGTTGAAATAATCAGGACATCAAGGGTTATGGTGACTAGAGGTAAATATCAGTTGAAATAATCAGGACATCAAGAGTGCAGTTGTCACTGTGATAAATATCCATTATCTGTAATAATCAGTTAATGTTCTCAGTTGAAATAGATAGGCCAGTGAAAAGTTGGTAGACTTGGGGCGGATTTTAGCGACATAGGGAGGTTATCTGTAGCATAATGCACATTTATTGGTCCGACACAATATTAACAATAGAACACAAGCTTACAAACAATATACTGAGAAGAGTACAATTATACTTACACTTCCATATTTCTTTTGTAAGAAGTCTCTGAACAGTTCATGAAAATACATATAAGTTAAAGGGTTAAGTTAAACTTCAATCAAAGACATCATTAATAACTGTTTGTATTTGATCATCTTTTAGGTGGATATTAAGCACTCTACAAATTTATTATTACTCTCGTATTAAAACAAAACCATCTGGTTCTGTATTTCAGAATGATGAACAGCACTTCCGTTTGTAATTGTGATGCAAACGAATTCCTGCCACTGTGTGGGGTTGACGGGGAGACATACATCAATCCCTGTCTTGCAGGATGTCAGTCTCAGAATGGAACTGTGAGTATTTCAGTCTCTGTGGCAGGATTCCAGTCTAAAAAGAACACTGTACTGCATTTCTACTTTTGTAATTCATGCATTTATTGAATTCTTTAAAAGAATCATTGCCTTTGGAATACGTTTTTATATGAAAGTACTCCTCTTGAAGATGAAATATGTATTTCTCCTGACCAATATTTCAGACGTATACGGGATGTAGCGAGATTCCTGGGGATGAGGGGACGGCTGGATGGTGCCAGAGAGATTGCCCCTTCTTGTACCCCTACCTACTCGTTGACCTTGTAGCCGGCACCGTGGCGACAGTGTCCATAGTTCCTGTTTTCATGATCATCATCAAGTAGGTCGAATTTCGAAGTCATATCCGACAACACCCAAAGCATGTACTTAGTATGGCATAGGTTTTATGTTGAGTGGAGTATTACCATGTCAGTGCCTTGTAAGTGCCGATGGAGGTGGTTTCGAATAAAAGTTTCAAAAGTTTTCACATGCCAGTATCAGCACCCAGCACAAGAACCAGCATCAGCATCAACATCAGTGTCACTATCAGTATCGGCACAGCTTGTGTGATTCACCATCAAGGCCATGGTGTGTCAACGGCGCTAAATGGGATTCGTTGTTCATCCTGACATGGGTTCACTGTTTTGCAGGTGTGCATGAGACATTGCGGTGACCTTATGGTAAAAGTTTCACCGATCATGGGGTTCACTGTTTTGCAGGTGCGGTGCATGAGACATTGCGGTGACCTTATGGTAAAAGGTTCACCGATCATGGGGTTCACTGTTTTGCAGGTGCGGTGCATGAGACATTGCGGTGACCTTATGGTAAAAGGTTCACCGATCATGGGGTTCACTGTTTTGCAGGTGCGGTGCATGAGACATTGCGGTCACCTCATGGTAAAAGGTTCACCGATCATGGGGTTCAATGTTTTGAGTCCAATTCTGGTTTCATACTACGCCCCTACTGGAGTAATGCGGTGTAAAACAATATGCAAACACTTTCGCTCGCCTTTATTATGCTGTATTCATATATGTTACAACTAGGCCCTCGAAACAAGTTACATCCTCGCATGGATACAAATAAGTGATGCCACTTAAGGTTTCATTTTCTTGTGTATACGTATCAAAAGATACTTGGATGAGCTAAATTCGCTTTCATTCATCAGTGTCACACAGATATTGTCCCTTATTTATGAGATGACCTGATACGTCGAAGCCAATATATATTTTAGAGCACTGTGGCCATTGATCTAGTGCGTTGCACATGGCTTTGTAGAGTTGCGCCCCTTAGCCAGGTTAGGATCGAGTCCCAGGCTGTGATCTTCGGCTTGAAAATACAGCATTCATCAAAGTAGTATCAGTGTATACGACCTGTGTCACTTTTTTCCCGATGACAGACCTATTTATTTCTGCAGTGTTATTCAAACTAAAGTTGACAATGAGTTGATGGTGTTTTAATTTCATCTTTTAGGACTGTTGAGCCGCGTGACAAATCAATGGGTCTAGCTATATCGGCTTTCCTGAACGGTGCTGTAGGTGGGTATTCGTGTTAAACATAGAGAATATTTCTATGGTAACGACGTTGTAATTAAATTAATGGCATAAGAGGTATCAGTCTGCCAATGTTTGGGAAAACTCTTTTTCTGATCGCTTCCCTAGATCTTTAGAGTCACTATAAATATCTCTGATTGAAACAGTTATACTTATGGTACTTTTTCAAAATCTCAAGTCAAAATCGAAAGGAATTTAGAAATAAACTGACGTACAAAAGAAAGTACACACTTGGTGTTTTGGGATTATTTTCAAAGGAAGAAAGTAAATAATATAAAAGGTGTTTTGATTGTGATTTTAAAGTCACAAACATTGTGAACATTTTGACTAAACGTATACGATTGTGGTTAATCCATGAATTGACGTGCATTTCGGGCAGAAAATCTTATACAAATCAACCATTATTGGTGTTTCCTGAAATCAAATCGATAATTAATGGGAGAATAAAGAACGACCACGTCCCGCCATAGTATTGTGTTGTGTTAAGGGAGGCACTGACGTTTCTTAAATTTGGTAATTGGTTTTATTTCGTTTGTTTTCAGGTTTCCTCCCATCACCTGTTGTGTATGGGATGGTGATTGACAGCACGTGCAGACTGTGGCAAATAAAGTGTGGCGAGACTGGCGCATGCGCACTGTATGATCTCCCACTTCTGCGCTATCGCATGAAGTCTATGGATATCGGACTTCAAGTACTGTCGTCAGCTTGCTTCATTGTGGCTTTCCTTTTGTTTAAAAATGGCTTCGTTCAGGAGTCGCTTGATACAGATTCATCAGATGTCCAGTCAGAAATGGCAGAGGAAAGACAGCAGCTGGAAATTTAACACTTGTTAGAAACTAGAAATATAGCATTTTCAAAAGAACAACAGAATCTGTCTCATATGATTTGGCGGACCGTTGTATGCCAGGGACAGGATGGGTTGATGCTTGGTTCATCTCCCTACTGAGATGAGATGAAGTGGGGCTTTAACATCGGGCTCAAGATCATTGAATTTATACAGCCGAGTGCTCGCATATGTGGCTGGTTGTACTAGTCGAGGGCACTAATCCACCATGTCATACTTTAATATGAATAGCCAGTTCAGACACAGTGCATTCCATGTACATTAATGTATCATGTCTTACTTTAACATGAATAGCCAGTTCAGACACAGTATATTCCATGTACTCTAATGTACCATGTCATACTTTAACATGAATAGCCAGTTCAGACACAGAATATTCTATGTACATTAATGCACCATGTCATAATTTAATATGAATAGCCAGTTCAGACACAGTGTATTCCATGTACTCTAATGTACCATGTCATACTTTGACATGAATAGCCAGTTCAGACACAGTGTATTCCATGTACTCTAATGTACCATGTCACACTTTAACATGAATAGCCAGTTCAGACACAGTGTATTCCATGTACTCTAATGTACCATGTCACACTTTAACATGAATAGCCAGTTCAGACACAGTATATTCCATGTACATTAATGTATCATGTCATACTTTAACATGGATAGCCAGTTCAGACACCGTATATTCCATGTAATCTAATGTACCATGTCTCACTTTAACATGAATAGCCAGTTCAGACACAGTATATTCCATGTACATTAATGTACCATGCTATACTTTAACATGAATAGCCAGTTCAGACACAGTATATTCCATGTACTCTAATGTACCATGTCATACTTTAACATGAATAGCCAGTTCAGACACAGTATATTCCATGTACATTAATGTATCATGTCATACTTTAACATGAATAGCCAGTTCAGACACAGTATATTCCATGTACTCTTATGTACCATGTCATACTTTAACATGAATAGCCAGTTCAGACACAGTATATTCCATGTACTCTAATGTACCATGTCATACTTTAACATGGATAGCCAGTTCAGACACAGTGTATTCCATGTACATTAATGTACCATGTCATACTTTAAAAGGGGTACCCAACTCAGACACAGAGATACCCAACTCAGACACAGGGATACCCAACTCAGACACAGTACACACTCCATGCTCCGTCACATATCATCTTTTCACTTGTTTCGACCTTCCTCTCTAAGGGCAGACACTCTAACCATTGCAATATGGAGACTGTCGTCCTACTTGTTATGATCGGTGTAACAATGTGTGACGTGGGTGAATGTTTTAATCGTGAGTTGATGACGTGGTGTTTCTTCATGAGATCAAACCGTGGTTCGCTCGGACCAGACTCGATATAACACAGAAGTGAGAGAGACACTCCTTAGTTGAGACTGGATGCGTTGATCGACCAACACTCATTCTCATGCCATGTAGTAGACCCATTATCATATACAATGTAATAAACTGCATATTATGTGCGAACTAGTAGCTTTTGTTTCTCATGGTATATGGTAGCTTAAATGTGGAACCATAATTTGGGCCATACTATCTTCTGTTTGCAAGTGTCGATTTGAGTTCGCGTAACACTTGTGTTTCTGAAGGTTACGGAAAGAGACGATTTGTGCTGAATGACACGGGCATTTAGGAACAACGATATGTTGTCGGAAAGCTGTTCTTCATTGAAAACTGGGAAACAATCTACACTTCCTTCCTTTCCGGGGAGGGGCGGTCTCACGGAATCCTTCGTAATTATGAACAGGCGGACACACAACACACACAAACATTGTCTTGTTTTAAATTCCATTTTAAATTGTAAACCTCTTCTTTACAACTTTGTTATGTCGGGGACGCTGGTATTAAAATGTTATATAAAAATAACAGTCAAACCCTGTTGTGTCGAACTCGTCGAGACCAAGGCAAAAGTTTGACGTTTACATCAGTACTGATCATTAAATTAAAATATAATTATAAAAATATAAATCAATTCTATCACTTTATTCATGACAAATAAATATGCATACAAAAAGATGTAATTTACCAAAATAAAATGAGTTCGACACAACCGGGAATTCGACACATCTAGTTCGAGACATCAGGTAAAAATAATGATACATGTAAGGGGACCGCGAGATGAGTTCGACACAACCGAGAATTCGACTCAACCGAGTTCGAGATATTGGGGTTCGACTGTAAACAAAAAAGAATGTCTCGTGGAGATACGTTGTAAAAGAACGCAAGGTTTATGAAAAAAAGTACGTACAGAAATAAATTATGAAACAAGTAAGTAACCAGACCAACGAATAATCAACAATTTTAAGAGATATCATGAGATTAAGTCCACATCGGGTCAGCAGTAGTACAAGTCTGTGGACAAATGTCCTGAACATATCACAATCGAATGTCGAATGCCATGACGAAAGAAGCACATGCTCCGCCCCTGAAGGGCCCAGGTTCCATGCTTGGATATAGATATGGTTATAGCCGCCTTCTAGAAACGTGGTCGAACCAAATGTGTCTACGCCTGTACACAAGTTGCAAACAAGTCCACACATTTGTGCACTGATACCATCTACTCTTACCTGTCAGAACTAGTGTTTACTTTCTGTTTTCACCGGTTGTGTGTTTTCACCGGAATATTGCCTGACCTAACATCCCACCATGCGCCTGGTGAAGTTCAGAATTGGCAAAATACACAGTCAAATTTGTCTGAGTCACTCAGTGAAAGGCACGTGTCCTTGTTCCACTCCACGTAAATGACTGATGCTATCGTGGATATAAGTCTGTACGTTTAAGCCAGAAGTGAGGAAAGTGATTCATCAACCCAAGTGACATAACCCTGTTCTGTTATAATATCCATTGAAAAGAGCAGTATTACTCACAATCGACCTCCGGCTGCTACAATCAACTTTACAATCACCTATGCAATTGCCCTATTCGATATTGCAACAACAGAAAAACCTACACATGTTTCATAACAACGTGATTCTATACAATGATAAAAAGTCGCTCTAGTTTCAGATGTACACACTCATTAAGAACATTACAACAATAAAGAGATAATGGCGAGAGCCATCAGAAGTTGAATGAGAACATTACCGTGCTTTCATGACGTTACACGTGACGTTTCGAATTGGATGTGGGGGTAGCCTAGTGGTTAAAGCGTTCGCTCGTCACGCCCTAGACCCGGGTTCGATTCCCCCCGCAAGCCCCCTCTAGATCCGCCCCTACCTTGGTTCTCATTCGCAATGGAAAGTGCGAGATAGACTTCTGTGCTCAATCACTTGCCATTTCGTCACATATGAAACCATATGAAACTTATATTGGTGGTAGGAACATTCATAGGTCGTTAACAGCGGTTATTTGACAGTATAAACAGGCACTGTATTCCTGCATCCAGATGCTCAAAAGCAAGGGAGTTAACCCAAGAGTCTCTGTGAATGCAACATGGGCTGTTGCCAACTATGGGAGAGCACAACTGTCTTTTTTAACAATATAGTACAATTTGTCCTTTTTCCTCAGGACTAAACGGGACAGGTTTTAAGTTTCTTACAGTAGTGAGAAAACGTGTAAATGTTGCTGAATTTGTTGTTTTGCCATCGTCATCGGCCCGGAATATATGGCTGTAGTTCTTGTGGAACTGATCTTGTAGTAGACCTTGACTTTGATTGTTCTGGGAGCAAGCGCGTGAGTTATCCATTTCATTGTGGTTGTTTAAGGTGCTCAGACCTGCATTAGGTGACGTTTCCTGAGATAATACTGACTGTCTCAATGTGGGTGTGGCCAATGTAGAATCATATTTCTGAGAAAGGACATATTGCCCATGTACAGGTCTGTGATTTATAGGATCCAATAACCTCAATTCTGCATTCGAAAACGTTTCATCAGAATAGGACGAATTCTAGTTGAACGGCGCCCTGTACGTATGGTTTTCTTCGCTTCAGAAAGATCATCGACCATTGACCATGGATCACCACAACCTTGACCGCGAACACGACCACGACCACAACCACGACTCAATCCAAGGACAGCAGATGATCCATCCATTTTCTACAGATGATCGGAGTGGAGTGTGTATAGGCAAAGCACTTATGTTGCTTTGCCCAAGGTTAACCTGGCATTGATTGCTGGAGCTGGAAGAAGCTGAAACTGTATTTGTTGCAGGTATTGCTTGATTCTGGATTAGAGACGAGTTTCCAGTAGATTTCGTGGAGGGTGCTGCTGTCGGGGATGGTACAGCTGGGACAAGTTGCACAGGAGAAGACTGTTGATCACCACAACCTTGACTACGACTTCCCAATCCAAGAACAGCTCCATTTCCTACAGACGATTTTCTATTGCTGGGCGGAGTGTGTACAGATGGGGGACTTGTGATGTTTTGTCCAGGGTTCACTTGGAGTTGATTGCTGGAGCTGGAAGAAGCTGAAACTGTATTTGTTGCAGGTATTGTTTGATTCTGGATTAGAAACGAGTTTCCAGTAGATTTCTTGGAGGGTGCTGCTGTCGGGGATGGTACAGCTGGGACAGGTTGCACAGGAGAAGAGTGTTTCAAAGCACTGGCAACACTGGTATTTGTTGTAGGTATTATTTGATTCTGGATTAGAAACGAGTTTCCAGTAGATTTCATGGAGGGTGCTGCTGTCGGGGATGGTGCAGCTGGGACAGGCTGCACAGGAGAATAGTGTTTCAAAGCACTGGCAACACTAGTATTTGTTGCAGGTATTATTTGATTCTGGATTAGAAACGAGTTTCCAGTAGATTTTACGAAGGGTGCTGCTGTCGGGGATGGTACAGCTGGGACAAGCTGCACAGGAGAAGACTGTTGATCACCACAACCTTGACCACGACTTCCCAATCCAAGAACAGCTCCATTTCCTACAGATGATTTTCTATTGCTGGGCGGAGTGTGTACAGATGGGGGACTTGTGATGGTTTGTCCAGGGTTCACTTGGAGTTGATTGCTGGAGCTGGAAGAAGCTGAAACTGTATTTGTTGCAGGTATTGTTTGATTCTGGATTAGAAACGAGTTTCCAGTAGATTTCTTGGAGGGTGCTGCTGTCGGGGATAGTACAGCTGGGACAGGTTGCACAGGAGACGAGTGTTTCAAAGCACTGGTAACACTGGTATTTGTTGCAGGTATTATTTGATTCTGGCTTAGAAACGAGTTTCCAGTAGATTTCACGGAGGGTGCTGTTGTCGGGGATGTAACAGCTGGGATAGGTTGCACAGGAGAATAGTGATTCAAAGCACGGGTAACACTGGCATTTGTTGCAGGTATTGTTTGGTTCTGGCTTAGAAGCGAGTTTCCAGTAGGTTTCACGGAGGGTGCTGTTGTCGGGGAAAAGCTGAAACTGTATTTGTTGCAGGTATTGTTTGATTCTGGATTAGAAACGAGTTTCCAGTAGGTTTCACGGAGGGTGCTGTTGTCGGGGATGGTACAGCTGGGACAGGCTGCACAGGAGACGAGTGTTTCAAAGCACTGGTAACACTGGTATTTGTTGCAGGTATTATTTGATTCAGGTTTAGAAACGAGTTTCCAGTAGATTTCTTGGAGGGTGCTGTTGTAGGGGGTGGTACACCTGGGACAGACCGCAAAGGAAAAGACTGTTGGTCACCACAACCTTGACCACGACCACAACCTTGACCACGACTTCCCAATCCAAATACAGCTCCATTTCCTACAGATGATTTTCTATTGCTGGGCGGAGTGTGTACAGATGGGGGACTTGTGATGGTTTGTTCAGGGTTCACTTGGAGTTGATTGCTGGAGCTGGAAGAAGCTGAAACTGTATTTGTTGCAGGTATTGTTTGATTCTGGATTAGAAACGAGTTTCCAGTAGATTTCACGGAGGGTGCTGCTGTCGGGGATAGTACAGCTGGGACAGGCTGCACAGGAGACGAGTGTTTCAAAGCACTGGCAACACTGGTATTTGTTGCAGGTTTCATTTGATTCTGGATTAGAAACGAGTTTCCAGTAGATTTCACGGAGGGTGCTGCTGTCGGGGATGGTACAGCTGGAACAGGTTGCTCAGGAGACGAGTGTTTCAAAGCACTGGCAACACTGGTATTTGTTGTAGGTATTATTTGATTCTGGATTAGAAACGAGTTTCCAGTAGATTTCACGGAGGGTGCTGCTGTAGGGGATGGTACAGCTGGGACAAGCTGCACAGGAGAAGACTGTTGATCACCACAACCTTGACCACGACTTCCCAATCCAAGAACAGCTCCATTTCCTACAGATGATTTTCTATTGCTGGGCGGAGTGTGTACAGATGGGGGACTTGTGATGGTTTGTCCAGGGTTCACTTGGAGTTGATTGCTGGAGCTGGAAGAAGCTGAAACTGTATTTGTTGCAGGTATTGTTTGATTCTGGATTAGAAACGAGTTTCCAGTAGATTTCACGGAGGGTGCTGCTGTCGGGGATAGTACAGCTGGGACAGGCTGCACAGGAGACGAGTGTTTCAAAGCACTGGCAACACTGGTATTTGTTGCAGGTATTATTTGATTCTGGCTTAGAAACGAGTTTCCAGTAGGTTTCACGGAGGGTGTTGTTGTCGGGGATGTAACAGCTGGGATAGGTTGCACAGGAGAATAGTGATTCAAAGCACGGGTAACACTGGCATTTGTTGCAGGTATTGTTTGGTTCTGGCTTAGAAGCGAGTTTCCAGTAGGTTTCACGGAGGGTGCTGTTGTCGGGGGAAAAGCTGAAACTGTATTTGTTGCAGGCATTGTTTGATTCTGGATTAGAAACGAGTTTCCAGTAGGTTTCATAGAGGGTGCTGTTGTCGGGAATGGTACAGCTGGGACAGGCTGCACAGGAGACGAGTGTTTCAAAGCACTGGTAACACTGGTATTTGTTGCAGGTATTATTTGATTCAGGTTTAGAGACGAGTTTCCAGTTGATTTCTTGGAGGGTGCTGTTGTAGGGGGTGGTACACCTGGGACAGGCCGCAAAGGAAAAGACTGTTGAACACCACAACCTTGACCACGACTTCCCAATCCAAGAACAGCTCCATTTCCTACAGATGATTTTCTATTGCTGGGCGGAGTGTGTACAGATGGGGGACTTGTGATGGTTTGTCCAGGGTTCACTTGGAGTTGATTGCTGGAGCTGGAAGAAGCTGAAACTGTATTTGTTGCAGGTATTGTTTGATTCTGGATTAGAAACGAGTTTCCAGTAGATTTCTTGGAGGGTGCTGCTGTCGGGGATAGTACAGCTGGGACAGGTTGCACAGGAGACGAGTGTTTCAAAGCACTGGCAACACTGGTATTTGTTGCAGGTTTTATTTGATTCTGGATTAGAAACGAGTTTCCAGTAGATTTCACGGAGGGTGCTGCTGTCGGGGATGGTACAGCTGGGACAGGCCGCAAAGGAAAAAACTGTTGGTCACCACAACCTTGACCACGACCACGACCACGACCACGACTTCCCAATCCAAATACAGCTCCATTTTCTACAGATGATCTTCTATTTCTGGACGGAGTATGTACAGATGGGGGACTTGTGTTGGTTTGTCCAGGGTTAACCTGGCGTTGATTGCTGGAGCTGGAAGAAGCTGAAACTGTATTTGTTGCAGGTATTGTTTGATTCTGGATTAGAAACGAGTTTCCAGTAGACTTCTTGGAGGGTGCTGTTGTCGGGAATGGTACAGCTGGGACAGGTTGCACAGGAGACGAGTGTTTCAAAGCACTGGTAACACTGGTATTTGTTGCAGGTATTGTTTGATTAAGGTATAGAGACGAGTTTCCAGTAGATTTCTTGGAGGGTGCTGTTGTCGGGGATGGTACACCTGGGACAGGCTGCACAGGAGACGAGTGTTTCAAAGCACTTGCAACACTGGTATTTGTTGCAGGTATTGTTTGATTCTGGCTTAGAAACGAGTTTCCAGTAGGTTTCACGGAGGGTGCTGTTGTCGGGGATGTAACAGCTGGGACAGGCTGCACAGGAGACGAGTGTTTCAAAGCACCGGTAACACTGGTATTTGTTGCAGGTATTATTTGATTCTGGCTTAGAAATGAGTTTCCAGTAGATTTCACGGAGGGTGCTGCTGTCGGGGATGGTGCAGTTGGGACAGGCTGCACAGGAGACGAGTGTTTCAAAGCACTGGTAACACTGGTATTTGTTGCAGGTATTGTTTGATTCTGGATTGAGATTAGACAGAGTTTCCAACGAGTTTCCGGGGAGTACAGTAGATTTCTTGGAGGGTGCTGTTGTCGGGGATGGTACACCTGGGACAGGCTGCACAGGAGACGAGTGTTTCAAAGCACTGGTAACACTGGTATTTGTTGCAGGTATTATTTGATTCAGGTTTAGAGACGAGTTTCCAGTTGATTTCTTGGAGGGTGCTGTTGTAGGGGATGGTACACCTGGGACAGGCCGCAAAGGAAAAGACTGTTGGTCACCACAACCTTGACCACGACCACAACCTTGACCACGACTTCCCAATCCAAATACAGCTCCATTTTCTACAGATGATTTTCTATTTCTGGACGGAGTATGTACAGATGGGGGACTTGTTTTGGTTTGTCCAGGGTTAACCTGGCGTTGATTGCTGGAGCTGGAAGAAGCTGAAACTGTATTTGTTGCAGGTATTGTTTGATTCTGGATTAGAAACGAGTTTCCAGTAGACTTCTTGGAGGGTGCTGTTGTCGGGAATGGTACAGCTGGGACAGGCCGCACAGGAGACGAGTGTTTCAAAGCACTGGTAACACTGGTATTTGTTGCAGGTATTGTTTGATTAAGGTATAGAGACGAGTTTCCAGTAGATTTCTTGGAGGGTGCTGTTGTCGGGGATGGTACACCTGGGACAGGCTGCACAGGAGACGAGTGTTTCAAAGCACTTGCAACACTGGTATTTGTTGCAGGTATTGTTTGATTCTGGCTTAGAAACGAGTTTCCAGTAGGTTTCACGGAGGGTGCTGTTGTCGGGGATGTAACAGCTGGGACAGGCTGCACAGGAGACGAGTGTTTCAAAGCACCGGTAACACTGGTATTTGTTGCAGGTATTATTTGATTCTGGCTTAGAAATGAGTTTCCAGTAGATTTCACGGAGGGTGCTGCTGTCGGGGATGGTGCAGTTGGGACAGGCTGCACAGGAGACGAGTGTTTCAAAGCACTGGTAACACTGGTATTTGTTGCAGGTATTATTTGATTCTGGATTAGAAACGAGGTTCCAGTAGATTTCACGGAGGGTGCTGCTGTCGGGGTTTGTGCAGCTGGGACAGGCTGCACAGGAGACGAGTGTTTCAAAGCACAGGTAACACTGGTATTTGTTGCAGGTATTATTTGATTCTGGATTAGAAACGAGTTTCCAGTAGATTTCACGGAGGGTGCTGCTGTCGGGGATGGTACAGCTGGAACAGGTTGCTCAGGAGACGAGTGTTTCAAAGCACCGGTAACACTGGTATTTGTTGCAGGTATTATTTGATTCTGGATTAGAAACGAGTTTCCAGTAGATTTCACGGAGGGTGCTGCTGTCGGGGATGGTACAGCTGGGACAGGCCGCACAGGAGAAGACTGTTGAACACCACAACCTTGACCACGACTTCCCAATCCAAGAACAGCTCCATTTCCTACAGATGATTTTCTATTGCTGGGCGGAGTGTGTACAGATGGGGGACTTGTGTTGGTTTGTCCAGGGTTCACTTGGAGTTGATTGCTGGAGCTGGAAGAAGCTGAAACTGTATTTGTTGCAGGTATTGTTTGATTCTGGATTAGAAACGAGTTTCCAGTAGATTTCTTGGAGGGTGTCGCTGTCGGGGATAGTACAGCTGGGACAGGCTGCACAGGAGACGAGTGTTTCAAAGCACTGGCAACACTGGTATTTGTTGCAGGTATTATTTGATTCTGGCTTAGAAACGAGTTTCCAGTAGGTTTCACGGAGGGTGTTGTTGTCGGGGATGTAACAGCTGGGATAGGTTGCACAGGAGAATAGTGATTCAAAGCACGGGTAACACTGGCATTTGTTGCAGGTATTGTTTGGTTCTGGCTTAGAAGCGAGTTTCCAGTAGGTTTCACGGAGGGTGCTGTTGTCGGGGGAAAAGCTGAAACTGTATTTGTTGCAGGCATTGTTTGATTCTGGATTAGAAACGAGTTTCCAGTAGGTTTCATAGAGGGTGCTGTTGTCGGGAATGGTACAGCTGGGACAGGCTGCACAGGAGACGAGTGTTTCAAAGCACTGGTAACACTGGTATTTGTTGCAGGTATTATTTGATTCAGGTTTAGAGACGAGTTTCCAGTTGATTTCTTGGAGGGTGCTGTTGTAGGGGATGGTACACCTGGGACAGGCCGCAAAGGAAAAGACTGTTGGTCACCACAACCTTGACCACGACCACAACCTTGACCACGACTTCCCAATCCAAATACAGCTCCATTTTCTACAGATGATTTTCTATTTCTGGACGGAGTATGTACAGATGGGGGACTTGTTTTGGTTTGTCCAGGGTTAACCTGGCGTTGATTGCTGGAGCTGGAAGAAGCTGAAACTGTATTTGTTGCAGGCATTGTTTGATTCTGGATTAGAATCGAGTTTCCAGTAGACTTCTTGGAGGGTGCTGTTGTCGGGAATGGTACAGCTGGGACAGGCTGCACAGGAGACGAGTGTTTCAAAGCACCGGTAACACTGGTATTTGTTGCAGGTATTGTTTGATTCCTATTTAGAGACGAGTTTCCAGTAGATTTCACGGAGGGTGCTTTTGTCTGGGATGGTACAGCCGGGACAGGCTGTAAAGGAGAAGAGTGTTTCAAAGCACTGGTAACACTAGTACCAGCGGCTCCCTGTGGTCCATTTCTTCTGTTTACAGACATGGATTCATCAACAGTTCCATCTCTGTACTCGACAAGGTACTCGGGATAGCACTGATTTCTCTCAAATATAACAAATATTGAAGGGTTGTCAATATCGTTGACGCAACAATCGTACAACACGTGGCCTTTTCTCGGTGGAGGCCTCCTGTAGCTGCTGTCTCCCAGTGTGTACTTTCCAACAAGCACTCGGGCTAGGAACATGTACCTGTCTCTGCCTTTGGTGTAACAGTGACTATACTTAGCGTCACGGGCGAAGTACGCCCCCTTGCCGTACATCGTGGCGTTCTTGCCGCTGACTCTGAAGTCAAAGTTGTTGATGCAGATGTTGTTGACCACGTCTAGAGTGTCTGTGCCGTGGAAGAGTTGTCGCTGGTCAATGCTCTCAGTGCTATGAGACATCTGAAGTGTCCTCTTCATACTGAAACATCATATGTATATTTATATAAGTGATTTCTCAGCGTTTTGCTTATACATCTACGAAACATATTTTTTGTGGTACATTTTAATGAACACATTTTGCAAACATCTCTTAATTCAAGCAGAATGTGGTCTGAAGATTAGCCCAGCATTTGTTTCGTTCAGAACTAAATATGATATCAGTAAATGGAATGTTTCATAAGACATATTCATACACACAGGATTATGATGCCACGTAGAAATACACTACAATGGGTAAAGTCTGTCACAGTAACAATACATAACAGGCCCTAAAACAAATACGAGTGTTCAGAAACAAGTAGATTGCCTTGATAGTGGCAACAGCCTTAAAGAGTGTTGGAGATTTGTGTAGTAATATTGCAAACAGGACAACGGGTACCCACGGATATCCAAACCTGAACGTTTTCGGCGGTATCGAACCCACATATTGGATAACATGTACCCACTCATACCTAATCAACTAGATGACTCGAACCTAAACGTAACATAGATAAGATTTGAGACACTAATCGACTTGAATCTGTGTTTCATAAAATAACGCATAAGTAGTTTCACACTGTCAACTTTGTCTTCCACACTCGACTTCAAGGACAATCTGACACCATGACTTATTTGGTTATTTGTTATCTCATCTGACTGTTGTCATGTTCCCAGTACAGTACAGACTGTCAGATAAGGAATAAAACTACAATTTCAGATACTGATTGAGTTTATCACAGACATTGGTGGAGTTTATTGGTTGATTGGTTTTAATAAACTAAACCATATAACTTATAAAGGTCGGTGTAAATGTTGATTAATGAACGACACTGCTTTACAACAAATATGTATGAGTCCATATTTTTGTGGGGGTTCTCCAAATCTGGGCACAGGTCACCCAAATGACGGACAAATGCAACAAAGACAGTTGAAGGGCGGGCTTGACATTTTATTGGGGTACGAATGGGTTTTTTTCTCAACTGGGCAAATCGCAATACTCGTTTTTCTCAACCAGCCAAGAAGAATTCGTTACCTGACGAAACGATGTCGGCCCTCCTGAAAATTAGGTTGGAAGGGTGAAACTACTATCGGCGAAGACAGATATAGTTTACAAGAACTTCTGTCAGTTTACTGCCAGTGATACTACAGCCTAGAACAAAATCCACCGCCATGTAACTTGGCTTGACAGAAGGTGAGGTGAGGTGATATTGGGGTTTACGTCGTGCTTGAGAATATTTCGCTCATATGACGACGTGCATGCGTGTGTATGTGTATGTGCGGCTGCTTGTACTAGCCCAGACTGAAGCTGGTTCTATAGTGCTAGCCCACTGAGATACCATGCCGCAGTGAAGCATGAATACCCCACTCAGACACATTATACTGACCCCGAGCCGACCAGTCCTTGTTGTACCCATTAATGCCGAGTGCCAGGCAGGGAGCAACAAGTACCATATTTTAACGTCTTTTGGTATGACGCGATCGGGGATCGAACCCGGGACCTTCCGTTCTCCGGGCGGATGCTCTAACCACTACACCACGGAGGCGGTCGGCTTGACAGAAGCTAACGTTGACGTGTAGACACACTATTGCTGGTATATATATTGCATATTCTGTATGTACATGCTTAATGTATGGAACACCTCAATACTTTACCTGAGGAAATTGTGCCAAAGTAAAGCATTCTGCAGTCTGTATACTCGCTGGCCTTGACATCTATTCGCTGACAGAGTTTTGTAGATGGATGACATCACAGTGGTAAATTCATAGGAGCTTGTATCCAACTCCACTTTTTCACTGTTCTGATAACAGTCAAGCGGAGCCCAGTGCGAGGGGACGTCAGTTGGTGGTGGCGTCGCCGGGGACATCAATAAACTGGAACTGAATAACAGTTCTGGAAATTACCACGTTCTCGTAATACTATAATATCATATATGTCTTTGTGCTGCGCAAGTGGACAGAAACAACGAAATGAAAACAGTTTCGCAGAGGTCAAGGCTATTAACTGTTTACATTGAAGTGACAAGGCCAGGCAATCGTTTTTCGTGCAGAATTTAGCACGTGTGAGTGGCCAAGTGCGAGTGAGGTAGACTCGATTGGATATGAATAGTGTTCCGTGGGATTTTCGTGGAAAATTCATTATCGGAGCCTACATTATTTTGAAATTACCCAAAACCAACGGAGAGAGTAAACCTGTATTTTGTTATATGATGTTTTTCATACCACTCGTTTATCCGAGGTG